GAATGGACAAGGGAGGTCAAGGGCATACTAGTGAGAGCACAGCTGTACCAGATCCTCTATGCACTGGCTCGGTCTGTGCCTAAACATCCGTATCTACAAGCTCCAAGACCCTAGTGGATTCGAGAATCTGCACCAAGTACCAAACCACCCGTGTGTGTGTGTGTGTGTGTGTGTGTGTGTGTGTGTGCGTGCCCGTGCGCGCGCGCGCACGCATATTGCATTCTACTTATACAGGTGTAATGACTCACTTTAATGTATCCATTAGTCAAAGCAAGGGATAAAGGGATAAACAACAATAGCATCTATGGTAACCCAATTACAAGAGCAAATGGTGCTGATGTTGCTGGTATCAGCACTCGAGCTGTGCTTTATTGTTCTGTGTGTGTGTGGGGGTCTTTATTTATAATTTTTAATTTGAGAAAGAACCTCCCTTTGCAGCTCAGATGAACCCCAGACTGCCTCAGCTTATGCTTCAGTTGTGGGTGTGGGACACCTTGCCTGACTGGAGGCCATTATTAAGTAGACTAAGGGTCACTAGGAGCAATCACTCACAGGAGAAGCCCTGCCCTAGCTGTGCTTGTGGCCTCTGAAGCACCGCCCACTTCTGCACCCCTTCCTACTCTCTAGACTTATCAGCATCCTGTCTCTAAGGATCTGAGCTCACTGACCCAAGGACAGGGCACTGGGCTGTCCAAAGCACATACTTCCCCTCATCTTTCACCTTTCTTCCCTCCCTACTCTCGAGAGCATTCTAATTGCTCTGAAGCCATTTCTCATGGCCATAAAAATAGTTCTGTTCCACTCTGTCATGCAGGGACACAGAACAGCTTAATTGCCATGATGACACATGAGGGAACATGTCAAGTGGGTTTCAATTTAAGCCTGTGGCTATATCAACAATTACCCAGAACCATTTCACCACATTAAACTGCCCTCCCTTGCAAGATGGAAAAAGCACTATCGATGGCCCTCACTTGGGGCCTTAAGACTCTGATATTCAGAGATCAAACCATCACAGTTATGAGCCTCACATGAGAATCACACTTACATGTGAGACATAGTATGTGCTTTGTATACACAGTAATCAAGAATAGTGTTGTTCCTGGAACAGGGATAGATCACTTAGAAGTCCAGTGAGTCTTGCCAGCAACTTGGCTCCCATGGAAGGGGGATGTCATTGGCCAGAAATCAGACATTTGGCTGAAGATGTAGATTCCTATGTAACAACATGAGACTCTGTCTCAAAAGAGAATGAACAAAATCAGCAAGAGAAACACAAACATGGAAAGAGAATTCAGGGAGCTTGGAAAGGGCAGGATTGAGACTAGAAACTCTTTGTCTAACTTACTGGCAGTGGAAAAGGACCATAGAGACCGTTCTACTGTGTGTGTGTATGCACGTGTGCATGCATGTGTGTGTGTGTGTGTGTGTGTGTGTGTGTGTGTGAGAGAGAGAGAGAGGGGGGGGGACCATGTAAGAGACACGTTTGGTTTTGGCCATGATTCCCTTTGGAGGTTGTGCAGATGGAGGCCAGTAGAATGGGCAGTTGTGCACTCCGCAGTCATGGCCACCTGCTCCATGGTCTCTGAGGGCTCTGAAACAAGGGTAGACAGAGCTTACAGCATCCAATAGTTAGGAGGTTCTGTCTTGGGGAGATGCATGCCTAGCTAGGAGACCCAAGCTGGGTTGTAGATACTGGGCATTGCTCACAGCTGGGCAGGTAAGGCTCAATGCCAGGAAACGTCACCCGTCCACCAGCCTTGTCCTCAAGTGGAACCCTGCTGTTACAATCAGGAAGATGTGTGCTTTGGTTGTGTCTCAGCTGTTGTCACTTTAGGTCTTCACAACAGCATGCAATCCAATATCCTAAATAGAATGAATGTTTTCAAGTTTTCTGACATCTCCAACCTGTTTATCTTGATCACCTACCTTGTTAGGGACTGTCTCCCGATCACCATCCGCATCACCACAGGGTCCCCTTCCATTCCCACAGATTTCTTTCACCGGGTTAATGGTTAAATTCTCCCCTACTAAACTCTGAGATATCTCATGTGGTTTCTGTCCCACTAGGAATGGGGGTAGGGTGTGTTTGCATCTGCGTGTATGGGTAGCACTAAGGCCCTTGTGTGAGGCACTGGCTGCCTTCACAGTTACATCGAATCACCCAGGTGCACTACTCATTCCATGTTGCCAGAGCAGCTGGTGCTAGGTACCTACCCTCTCACTCTGCAGCGTTCAGCTTGCCTGTCTGCCAGGATGGAAAGCAGTGTCCTTTGTGCTTTGTCTTGAAACCCCCATCCCTGAGAGGAGCCCAAGGTCCCCAGCTCCCCATAGCACTTGTGGGAACCACCATCCTTACAGATACACATGGTATCCATGTGAAGAACCAGAGAACAAAGGAAAAAGCCTGTGTATCCTGGGATGCTGCATCCAGAGTTTGTCAACTGGAGACGGAAACTGGCAACTCAACAGGCACGCTTCCCTTCATGTCACTAATCTCTAGCAATGAAGCTTAACACCTGTCCACTGTTTATGTTGTTTGGGTATCATGAATAGCCTAGAGGACACAAGACATGCAGCAGAAGTCCAGGGGCAAAGCTCGGTGGCAGTATACTTATGTGCATGGCCCTGGGGCCGGTCCTTAAACCACACAGACAGAGCATACTGGATGTATACATGCCACATGCAAACACATCATTTTCTACAAGGGACCTGGGCAACCAAAGATTTGGCTCTTAGAACAGTCTCTTGGTTGTTCCTAAGGACAAAGTACCTTGTACAAAACTGAGGCTTCAAGGTCTGATTATGTTTTAGTAGAAAAATCTTGATTTCAAGTCTTATGATTGCAGGCCTACGCAGACGTTTGCCAGGGAAAGAATTTCAGTGGTGGTGAGTGTTAAGCAGGCCCAGGAGCCAAGCAGTAATGGCCAGGGTGGGCCTACCTGTGGCTAGTGACTCACATAGGGTGGAAGTGCCTTGTTGATTGCTGTTATGTCTCACCCTGCTCTGGAAAGGCAGCTCTGCATGCACAGCGCACCAGTGTCTGTCCAGTGTGGGCTGAGCTCCTGCTGCCATCTCCTGGCAGAGTCTGTCAGGGACACAGCAGGCCATTTACCTCGTTTCATTGGCTGAGATTTAGGGGCTTTCTGGATCCATCCCAGGGCTCTCATTTCCTCTAGGACAAAAGGAAAAGCTGTCCTGCGCACACTGCTGTTACAGGTGGGCTGGAGATGCTGTCCTTACTTGGCTCTTCATGATGGCCCACTATGTATAGCTCTCTGGTCCTGTGTAGCGCTGTGTGGCCTTGTTGAAGAGGAGCATGCTTGGCAGGTGGGCATCACTAGCCCTTGCTTCAGGCCTCCTGGAGGAAGGAAATCTAGGTGTTTCATGAAGAAAAACTGAGCACCAAAGGGTTGCCTTGTCTCTAGCCACAGCCCCACTGAGATGGCTCAGTTAAGACCCTTTCATGCCCATAGCCTGTGTCCAACACTAGAGCGGAACACAGGGAAACATTAGATGTTCCTTGGCCAGTCCTTTCAGAACGCATTCTCTCTCTCACGTATCACTTCTCTCTAGCCGGTGGCCAGGGATGGATGCTGTGTGCCACTGCACTATTCAAACTCCCCTTGGACTGAACTAAGTCCTTGCCCAGGAAGTACCCTCAACCAAGGATGCTCACTTCTGGAGGCAGGTCTCCCAGGGGAAGCCCACACAGTAACTGCCTTAGTCCTTGCACCAGGAGCAACCCTGAAGAGACATGGGGTACGCCCAACTTGCTGTGAGATTAGTGGAGCATGTGTGGCGAGTGCATGGTGGGCCAACTCTGAAGAGACATGGGGCATGATGAACTTGCTGTGGGACTAGAGGAACGCGTGTGGCAACTGCACGGTGGGTCAACTTTCTCCTCAGCCCGACACTTCCTCCAGCCTCACAGTGTAAGATTAGTGCCCTGGAGAAAGGCACCAAACAGGAAGAGCATAACCGCTCACTCATCTGAAGCCAAGTGTCAGTGCTATCCTGGATGCTGACTTGATTTGGTACAAACAGATTTCAAGATGAGACCAGAGATCTGGTGTATTCTTATACAGACCAGTTAATAATTATTAAATAAAATAAATGTTATCAACCCCATATTCTCAGAAACAAAAGGAAACATGAACCCGACTTTCCCCTTTGACACAGCTAGTTTGCTTAAGTGCTGCACTATTAGGAAGCCACACTTGGGTGACCCTTAAAAGCTCACCGTGCCTACCTCAGGGGATGATGGTCCCACATGGTCACAGGCAGCAAAGTATCCTTGGATCATTTGGGATGAAAAACCCTAAGTAAACTGCACTAACAGTAAGGTGGAGGTCTCATGGGATCCAAGTTTCTTATCAACAGCCCCAGGAATTAACTCCAAGGTGAGTGTGACTCTCTAGGGACCCTCTTCCTTCCTTTTAAGATGCTTTGCTTAACTGGATATTTCCTGTTACAGACTATACTGTCCTTAAGATGGAACACTGTGCCGGGAGGGAGGGAACAAACTGTTGGGGTTTCTGGTGCAGAAAGAAATAATGCGACTCCCACTGGTTCTTAGCAGTTAAAAATAATGCAGCAAGCGCCTAGTCCAGAGCATGCAAATTCTCCCCATACATGTTTGCATCTGGAAGGATGCATAAGACAGTGGTTGTTGAGTGTGTAGCTCTGGTATACTGAGATGTTCTTCTGCCCTCTTCACTGTAACTTAGTGTAACAACATGTGCACGATTATCATGACATACACTACCATTAATATGCAATATTTAACTGAGAGGGTGGAAACACCTGTGTGCAAGCGGTAACAGTGTACTTTTACTTGGTGTAAGCCAAACCCCTGTGTTTACAGGCTTAAAATGTTACCTCAGAGCCAAGTGTGGTTTTAAAAAGACGCAGAACTAATTTACTATATTCTTTGTGTTTTTTTTTTTTTTTTTAGTTTGACAAAAAAAAAAAAAAAAAAAAAAAAAAAAGGACAGATGGCAAAATGAAAAAAATTTATTTCCTGTGTTTTTATCCATGGTCAATACTGTATTTTTTTTCTGATCAATATATGTCAAAAGATCTCTCAGCTTTTATTTTCCATTTTAAACAACTACAGTATTTACAAGCTGTTTACAGTAATACACACACTCGTGGACACGCGCAAGGACACATATCCTTATCTCTGGTGTATACTGAATGCTGGTAAAGGCAATGACCTTTCAGAGCCCATGATCAGAAAGGGGATGCCACTCTCCTTTCACAGGCCCACTCACCCACAACCACTTCTAACATCCCTCCTTCCTTTCCCTCATACAGAACTCGCTGCCAGACTTGCACAGGGTTAATGTAAGCAATGTTAACAATTTACTGAAACTACAGCTTTGAAAAAGCACAAGCCAATATAACCCTCCCCATTTCTACTGTTTTGGTTTCAGACTCAAGCTTCAAATATAAGAAATTTTGTTCAAAAGCAAGCACACCGAACCCACAAGTCATCTGGAACAGCCATGCCATCCTCCATGGAGCAGTGTGCAGGTGACATGGATTCCTGTCATTTCCTGTCAGAGGACCTCTGTTCCTCCTGTTGGTTCCAATGAGTGATAAGAAAAGGGAGAGCCTATATAATAGGTACAAGTGTGATGTCGGCGCTGTGTGTAACCCTGCAGGACCATCAGCTTGAGTTCCCTGGACAAGATGTTCAGCTTTCAGATGAGCATCTGCCCCAACCCACAAAGAACAGTTGTTTCTAGGAGAGAAAGAGCAATCCTCACCACACAGTTCTTGATGGCTGCCTCTGGGGAGGTGACTCATTACAGAAAATATAACTCTGTATTCAAGCAAAGTTAGATCTTTCCAGACCTATTTGACCAATTCCTTTCTGATTACAGCTTATGAATAGCTAACAAGTTTTAAATGAGACAGCTTAGATGTTCATCAACTAGATGATTTTACAAGAGAAAGGAAGAAAAGAGCTGGATTTAAATACTTATTTTAAAAAATGCCTATGTATCCAACATATTAAAATTCATAACCACCTACACACAGCAGTATCTAATTTACCTTTCTCCTGATCAGTAAAACTCAATATCCATCTAAGAATGAAACAGAAAGTTCAAAGGTCATCAAGAGGCTCCACACACCATTTTAAGCTTTAACCGAATCTCCGTTTAACTTTTAGAAGGGACCGATCTTATCTGAACAATGTATAGTACCACAAGAACAAGTTAAGTGGGTCTGTGTCCAAAGTAACTTTACATGACTAGTACAAGAGATGGGAAAGAATACTGATGACTTAAAACAAAAACCCAGAAATAAATTTGCTTATATTAATGAGAAAGTATTTAAATATAAAAGTAATTAACACGCTGGATAGCAGTTTATATTTTAGTAGCTAGTAAACAGAAATTCAAAGAATTCTCACATAAAACTATTTTTTTTTTCAAGTCACATACTTAGAACAAAGGATGATAGAAATTTAGCTAAAAGGAGACAATTTTAGACACTGGGCAAATATTAAGAACCCAGTTTTTAATGAATTACTCAAGACACCGACCCATCAGGCAAGTTCTAGGCTGAGGCAGAAGGATGCTACTAGGACATTATGAAGAACTCACAAAGGCAATGTGACCCCTGCTCAAGTGTGAGACTGTATTTTATATTTTGATGGGAGATAGAAAAACTAAACTAACCCAGAGAGAGTCCATAATGAGCTATGGTTTTCTATAGAAGAAGTTGTTTATGCATTGCTTGACATTCAGCAACCAGAGTCATTTTTGTGTCTTTCAGGAGAGAAATATTGTCTGTTATCTTCTGGTTCAGGGACTGGAAGTATCATCAATATACTTGAAAAAAAAATTTTTTTTTCCCCAAAACACTTCCAATCTAATGGACTTTTATCCCCTGCTAGCAGAAATAGAAGTCAGAACACTGAGCGCTGCTCACTCACCGCAGAAGTAATCACTTGTCTTCTTGTAAAGCTTCCACACCGCCTGGTCTCTACCCTCCCAAGTGCCACGTGCAGCACAGCTGCATGGTCATCTAGACTCATGGACAAAGTCAAGCTCATTAGCAAAAAGTCCACTAAAAAGTCCTATTAGCTCTTAAAAATGGTGTAGAAAGAGAGTCCCTACCACGATAGGGGCTGAAAGAGTCCTCAAAAGCTTAGTTTAGGGGTACAAATAGTTTTTGTTTTTGTTTTGTAAGATGAAAACAAGGCTATTCTAGGATTGTCCTCTCAAAGTGGGGCAAGATAAAAAAGAAAAAGACTTCACCGTGCAGCTGTAAGTAAGGGAAATCTAAAAAACTGTTTTAAGTACTTGCAAAATTATGTTAAGAGCACTGAAGTATGCTGAAGCTTTGTACTCTAGTGAGAAAGGCTAAGCAGAAAATCTAATACACTGGCTTGCTATCTAGGTGGGTATCAGGAAAAAAAGAATCTGTAATAAATTGAACCTTAAGACACAAATCTTCAATTATCACCATCCTCCCTGCTGTAATTAGAAAAGCATTTAAAAAAAAAAAAAAGGTTATCAGTTTTAGATTTAAAAACTAAAAACAAGACTTCTTGTAGGGTTCCTAATTTATAAATTTAGTAAAGTTATATGGTAATAGAAAAATGTCAACTTCTCCAAATTAAGACTTACTATACATGTCCCATACAGAACCCCGTCTTACACATGGAGTTGTTCATGTAACACTTAACACAGATGACGAGAACTAGGATAAACAGAACTTTGATCTATGACCAAATCATCTGAACCTCATCTTCTGACCCTCTGTGGGAAGACAAGTCATCTCCCACCTTAGATGGCAAACCCTCTGCTTACTTCTCCACCTAGGAACAGTCACGAAAAGATCAAACCCATTTTTGATCAGGGGACAAACAAGCAGCAGGAAGCACAATTCCTGGAGAAGTGTTAAGCACAGACAGGTTAGAATTTAGCTACAGAAGGAACGCTGCCACTGAGCACACGGTACAGCATGGGTCTGCCCAAATGAGCCAACACAATGGAGCGAGAATAGTGGGGAAACACACTTCTTAAAGTGGTCAATTTAGAAATAGGAAGGGCTCCTTTTGTAAGTCATCTGACAAATATTTTTAAACAATAATAAATATCTGCAAAGTCTGAAGTCTATGGAAACATCAATACAAGGCACATTGGGTTCTGAATGACCACTGATTTTTAAAACAAGAGAAAAAACAGAGGGTTTGAAGCACAGGTGTGGCAAGTTTCCTGTGGGCTGCTGTTAGCGCTCATCCTGTCTCCTGTACCGCCGGGACACATGTGACACCTGCGTCCTAGTCAGTGGGAATGACAGCTCTGTCCTCTCACCTCCTTACACAGAAGCCACTGAATGGACACGGCTCAGACAGATGGCCTGCTTCTTTCTGCAGTCTGTCCATGGGGACACAGATGGCTGCTCCCGGGCACTCAGAGGAGATGGGCAGTTTTCTTTGAAGTTTAAAACAAAGGGAATTTTAAGCATTTAAGAAATGCTTAAAGTTGCAAATGAAACCTAAACTGCAGTTTGCATGCAGCCACACTGTAAATCCAAGGTACATATTTCCCTGAATACACATGCTCCTTAAAAAACCAATATAATTTATGAGACAACATCTGAGTTAAGTCAATTTCACAGTTACAAATATGTTCAATGACAGGTAATCACCATAAATTACAGGAAATAAATTCAAGTAGTAGAAAAAGAACAAGGAAGAAGCAAAGTGCAGAGCTGCTGAAGACGACACAAGACTGCGCCACGTAGACATTGTTGTTTGAAAAAATTTTACTTGAGAAACCAAACTTCATGTGAATAACTTCAAGAGCTAGAAACTCTTCAAATAAAAGCAACTGATCCTTTCTTTAAGTTCCTGGGCCTTCATATTCTTCTTCTTCTTCTTGAAAAGAAAAGCATATTCCAGAAGCAACTCCACAGAGCCTGCCACCAGCTGGCAGTGAGATGTGACAGGGCAGCTGGTGGTGGCTCACCAGCTCTGGGGACTGTCAGTGATGAAGCTATGTGCGTGTCTCTGGAGTCCAGCATACCAACAGAAAGGGGGCAGCAGGTCCTGCTGGCGGTGTGTTGGGGGAGGGGGGCTCTAATCCTGAAGGCAATTTAAATAATGGTATTTTCTTTTTATATATAAATAAATGTTCTGAGAAATCTCAGATTTAGTGCATTGCTGTAAAAAATTAGTGCAGTTTTTTTTTCATTAAAGTTTTTAAGCTTTCAAAGGAATAAGATACACCTACATCTATTCATCATCTTTCTCACTGTACATTAAATTTTATACTGTTATATGTCGAACTGAATGTTTCCACATGGGTTTGTTTGTAAAAACCATGGTCAATGGATTTCATTTTCTACGACAAAAACCATGGCAACTGTTTTTTGGCAAAGAAATTAGAAAAATATGAGCTCAGAGTTAGAGACAAGAGTCTGTGGGTTGGAGCATAAATGCATAGAGAGCCTTTCATAGACAGGCTCCAACAGAAGTTTGCCTTTCATGCAGCTAACTTAAAAAAATATTTCAGCTTTATTTGGGGATGGAGACAGTGACAGGAGTCAGGTTGGAGGCGCTTAACCAAACCACTGTTCAAGTCTTTGCTGGGAAGGGCAGGCGGTCCCCACAGGCGGATCTTCTGCAACCTTACTTCTCTCCAACGGCTGGGAGAGAAGCCAGAGAAAGGGATGCAGGTGTGCAATGCAGGCTCACACTTCTGCCCCCAGTTCTAGTACCCCCGTTTCAATTATAGTCACATATTTATCATCAATTTGGACGAGGAGCACTGTCTTGTCGATGTGGGACCTTGTACCTGGGTCTCTGCTGCAAGGCACCCATCGGTGAATCACCTATCAATCAGAACAAAAGGTGCAGTTAGACCTTGAATGCACTTGTAAACTTGCCCCCAGTGCAGTTCTGCTAACGACTCAGGCAGAGAGACACACACAGGATCAGCCCAAACCATGCATTGGTCTGACAACCAAAAGCACACAGTGTACCTCCCCGGGAGAACTTACATGGCCTTCCATGCCCTCCTGAGGACTCCAGTCTTTCCAGCTGTTTCTCCCAGCTTTTAACCGAATTCCTTCATCAGGCCACTGCAGTTCTTTCCTTTTTGACAGGTTAATCCCTTCCAGAATCTGACTGAGATCCACAATCTAAACAGACACAGAAGCAGCATTTCCAATTCATATTTTCCCTTGATGGTGACAAATCTAAGGCTCAACAAAATGTCTTTCATTGCATGTTAAATACGATGCATCTTCTTTTCATCTTAAATTCTCCAGGAAGGAAGTCTAAACAGTTGCGAATCACTTCCTTTTGGACTAACTTCCTATGATGACTCTGTGTCAATGCTGAGTGGGGGGGGGGGGGAGAGACAAGTATACTGACACAAAAACTGATGCTTTCAGTTTTTAAGTTGGCAAGTTTCCCTAACATTGCAAAGTGCTCTAATCCCCAGCTAAACAAATGGCATTTTCACAGGAGACCCCCTACTCAACAAGGAAGACATAAAAGCAAACGTGACACTGTACAAACTCTCTTGGCCTACTCACCTGGACCCTGTAAATCACCTCCCCTTTTCTCTACTCACCTGGACCCTGTAAATCACCTCCCCTTTTCTCTACTCACCTGGACCCTGTAAATCACCTCCCCTTTTCTGGCATGTGAACTGTTGGCAGGACTTATGGTGCTGCCTGGCTGGGCCTCGGTGACACCAGCCTGGCTGCCTTCTGACCCGAGAAAGCCCACAAGGGTGTGGTGCTTGCAGGCCGGGATGCTTTGGCTGGAGCTGCTGGAGGAAGGCAGGCCGTGCTGCACACAGGCCATGCCGCCCTGGCTGGTGGCTTCCATCTGGTTCACCATGGAGAGGCGGGACTGGATGGACGACGGCAAGTTTCGAAGTGATATTTGGCTGGTGGAGGAGCGCCGACAAGGCACAAACCCCGTGGTGGACATCCGGAGGGATGAGTGGCGACTGCTGTAGCAGTAGGACTGGCTGGCCATGGAGGCTCTCGCCGGCGACTGTCTGACCAGACTGGACTGCACTGAGTGGGCGCTGTGGCTAGTGCCTGGCAGGAAACAACGGGTAGCTGCCATCAGGTTGTGTGCTGTGTTTAATTAAAATGTCTCCCTAAGCAACCACCCCACAAATTTATAGTTTATGTCTAAAACTTTAAAGGTTATTAAAGAAGAAATACCTGAGATCTATTTTTTTGTATTTCTATAAAATTGTTTTTTTTTTTTTATTTCTTAAAGCTTTTAAAAATTCAAATTTTAGGATATAAGAAAAAATAATTTACAGCAACTACCTGGATTTAAGGTCAGAATAAATTCTAAAGTATTTTTTACAGAAATATTTCAGGAAAATAAGAATTAAAAATAATAAATGAGATGAACTACTTTTGGAATGAAAGAATCAGAAATGTTTAAAGAAACACTGTGCAGGATTGGAGAGATGCCTCAGCAACTAAGAACACTTGTTGCTCTTGCACAGACCTGGGTTCGATTCCCAGCACCCATGTGGTAGTTCACAAGCATCTGTAACTCCAGTTTCACAGGATATGACCCCTTCTTCTGACCTCAGGCAGACACTGCACATATATACACGCAGGCAAACTCTCATACCCATAAAAGTAATAAAATCTTCCTAAAAGGAAACTGCACGATCACACACACACATGGAGTCTAAGGGTCAATCTCAGAGGTCAGGCGTAGAATGGCAGTGGATGGGGCAGGGTGGGAGGCAGGAGCTGTGTGGAGCTCCAGGTGTGCTGAGGAGACTTCCGGAGGTACCACAGCATGGTGCCGCAGGAGAGGTTAGATAACACACAACAATGAAATATTACTAGTTTAAAAATGGAGTATGTTTTTGGTTTTTTCTTTTGAGACAGGGTCACTATCTCTCCAGTCTGGTTGTCTTGGAACTCAGAGATACCTGCCTGTCTCCTGAGTGCTGAGATTAAAGGCACGCACCACAAACCCATAATATTTTGAGTAAAGCATGTGAAGTACAGGACTTAAACATGTATATCAATGACTGATAAAACCAATGGTATAATGCATAATGATATCAAGCAAACGCTGTATTTCCATGTAACAACACACACTCCTCCTTTACACACACACACTGGCCAGATGGTTAAGGGGCCAGCATCTAACAGAGCTTTGTCTTGAGTACCTAGTGTTGGAGGATACGGCGCGGTGGGTGGGTGCAGCCCCAACCCTGATGCCTGTCCTGGGTTCCCAGTGCTTCCCTGTGGCACACTGCTGTGGGGATCATTGACAGTGGGTGCATTGTTACCAGGACAGGAAGTCCCACCTCCAGTGTCCGAATCTTCAATATTGCCGCCACTGTTACAGCCAGCTCCACAACCTTTCCTTAACCTGGAGACAAATTCCAAGGTAGGAAGCATTAGTCCTATGTCACTTCAAAATCAATCCTCTATTCTGTCTCCACTCCACTCTTCTGAGGTACCAGTACTTCATGTCTACCTTCCAAAACCTTTATGGTACAATCAGGATCAGGAACAAGTCCCCTCCAAAGAATGGTTTGAGAAGCACGCCCCATCCCTACCCACCACCTCCAGTCCTCCTGTACATATTGCCCTTACAGCACAACGAAGAACCAAGAAACACGTGTCTCCCCCCCCCCCACTGCCTCAAGTCCTCCGGCCAACTCTACAGTTCTGCACCCATTGTCTGCACAGCACAATGGAGACCTGTGAAGACACAGTTGTACCATGAGGACCCCAGCTGAAATCAGCAATCTTTGTTATCTGAGACAGGCCCTCATTCTGTAGCCCAGGCTGCTCAAGGATTCTGTATATATCCTTGAATTTTCAGAAATCCTCCTGTTTTACCAGGCAGTGGTGGCCCACACCTTTAATCCCAGCACTCAGGAGGCAGAGGCAGGTGGGTCTCTTTGAGTTCCAGGACAGGCTCCAAAGCCACAGAGAAACCCTGCTCAAAAAACCGCAAAGAAAAAAAGGAAAGAAATCCCCTTGCTTCAGTCCCCTGAATGCTAGGATCACAGGAATGAACCACCACACCAAGCTTTGGCAACAGAATTCTTGCCAGTATCTGCTGAGCAAATCAAGACCCAGTTTGTCTACACTGTGGCTCTATCTGTTGCTAGACAGCTGTTTCATCTTTCCTGTTTGGTTTTTGTCATTTTAAATATAGGGAGACTGACAGCATGAATGGGCATACGTACCTCAGTTTGGCACTGAGCACTCTGCACTAAGAATGTCCTTGGTCCCCAGGAAATCATAACCTGTCTCTATGCTATTTCTCCCAGGGAGAAAACTCACTTTCTTGTAGGTAATGCAGGTAACATAGAGGTTTTCTGAAATAAAATCCCTGGGAATACTCTCCTGGTTTAGGTTGTTAGGTGGTAATACAAACTGAGTCTTTAAGCACTGGCTAGTCATTGGAAAATTTAAAGACACCATTAAGAGTCTGTGGCACAGCTGGGCATTGGTGGTTCACACCTTTAATCCCAGCACTTGGGAGGCAGAGGCAGGTGGATCTCTGTGAGTTCAAGACCAGCCTGGTCTACAAGAGCGAGTTCTAGGACAGGCTCCAACTCTACACAGAGAAACCCTGTCTCGAAAAACAAATCAAAAAACCCCAAAGAAACAAAAAACCAGAGTCTGTGACTCTAGCACATAATTCCGTTTCCTTATGTTCTGAGCACAATAATCTGTAAGTTATCCTTACTGTCCCCTAATCTATGGTGCACCTATGGTGCACCTACACCCTATGTCAGGCTTCACCAGAAAAAAAGCAGAGGGAAATGCCACATGCATATCCCAACACACTCCAGAATTCCATCTGGGTGATGACTGGACTGTTGCAATGGCAACAAAGACTCCCTGTGGCACAACCAGATGTGTGGAGAGCTCCCTGCTGCTGGGAAGGGGTGCATGCGCAAAGGAAGCAACCCACATGCAAGGTTCCAATGCCTGTCTCTTAGGAGAGGCACGATGCTGCAGCAGAGTGAGGAAGTTAAAACGGGAGTGTTAAAGTTCTGCTAATGTTGCCATAGCACATCAGCTCCAGCATTAGCCAGAGCCTGACATAAGGTTCATCTCTGTTTCTGAAGATAAGGAGCAAATTTCTACCTCCTGGTGTTTAGGTAGAGTATGTGTGCATTATGCCCTGGCATCTCCATCTTGTCTACAAGCTTCCTCGGTGAGCTGACACACATTGCTGAGACAAAGAGGCCCAGGGCACACCACTGAAAGATATAACCACTACCTGTGCCAGGTGGACACTATGAAGTTCCGGATATTTCCCAAGCTAATTGGTCCCCCAAGAATTTCTTTGAGCTGGTCATGGCTGTCAGAGTAAGATGTTGTCAGGGGTGACACAAAGATCGGGTAGCCAATAGGCTGGTCACAAGATGAGTTTATCATGTTTCTCAGCGCCTGCTTTGCGTTCTGGATGCTGCCTCTCTCGGGGTTCCGATTCCGAAGAAAAACAAGCTCCTGCTGCTGCCCTGCCCAGAGACCTCGGACACATTCCTTATTCACCTATGACAGGAAAGGGCAAGGACAAAGGTCAAGAAAGAAGTGCAGAAATGGGTGACACACAGTGTGGTGACCAACTGAAAGTTATAAAAAACAAGGTTCCCTTTGAAAGGAGTTAGCATATGTCCCTTCATGGATAGCCGACTGCTAAGTTTAAATAAGCACCTACAGTGTGCTTTCTCTTGTTACACCTTCTAAAAATGTCTAAGTAAAATGTAGTTCATTTTGTTTGTCAAGTTAGTGAACTAGATAATAGATAGTTTTTAATGGGAATGACAGGCAATTCATATTTCAATTTGAGAGGATGCTTGTGATATTCTGGGGTTGATTAAAGACTGCTGGTTGACCAGAGGGCTCAGCAGACAAAGGTATTTTCTGTGAAGCCAGGTGCATGAGTGGGATCCCTGGGAGCCACCTGTTGTGGTGGAGGGGAAAACTAACTCCTGAAGGCCATTCTCTAGCTCCCATATAAACTCGGCACTATGAGGTACGTGCATTAACATGTACAGAGATGCACACAGTTTTTAATGAGATAAAAGTGAATCATTATGAATGTCAAATTCAAAAACCAAAGTTGCTAAACCCCTACAACATTCACACACACACATGCATACACACGAATGCTCACACACTTACTCAGATGCACACATGTCACAATGACTGAGGTTGAGAGAGAATTTAAGGAACAACCCATTTAGAGTCGCTTTGAGTCACAATGAGGTACAGGCCTTGTTATTCTCTTTTAACTGAGGAGAGCACCTCATCAGCAATGGAGTGATGGCTTTTAAAGAAGGAATGAATACTGCTCAGATTTCATGCATAATGGCTAAGAGGCTACCAACCCTGAAACAAACTAAACAAACTAAAGGCAGGGCAGAGGGAATTACCAATAAGCGAGTGAGTGTTCATGAACTATGACTGTGCCATCTGCTCATCTTTAAGTATAAACAGTGCCAGTCACACTTGAGAGCTGCATTAAGATGTACCTCAACTCTTCCTAGCCACAGGTCAGTGCCCCAGACTCACCTTAATGACCCTGAAGCTCAGGTGGCGTCGGTTGAGCATAATGATCTTGTACTCATTGGTGCCGTCGTCCATGACATGCCGCAGAGCCAGCAAGGAGGGAGAGTTGGCAAGGACTGCACTCCGCCACGCAGGGTCCCCTTCGTGGGCTATTACAAGGTTCTTTTCATGAGACACGATGGCTTCATAGAGCACAGTGGGGTCGTCATACTCATCTGGAGAAGTGAAATGATCCTAAACACAGAAAGGCCAAGTGTGTGGGTTTTTTTTTTTTTTTTTTTTTGATTTGTTTTGGAAAAAGGAAAATACTTCTGGGATTATAAGCAAATTGAGTGCTATTGTGGACATACTCATTACTGTCCTGCTAACTGGGTTAGTTGCTGTTCTATACACATCTAAGCTTTAACCGACTATCTCCAAAGTTTTATATAACTATCATTTCCAAGTTTTATAAACTGTCTTTTTATCTCTTTCAAGGCAGTTTCCACATATTTACTTACACATGTCTAATTGTGTGTGTGTATGGTATGTACGTATGCATGTGGTGGTCACAGAACAACACTGCAGAGCTGGTTCTCTCCTTCGACCCTTCCGTAGGTTCTGAGGACTGAGCTCAGGTCTCCAGGCTTGTGCAGCAAGTGCCTTCTCCCACTGAGTCTCTCACTGGCCCCACATAGTGTTTTTACTTCACTGTCACAAGTTAAGGAAGAGCCTCAAAAGGTCCCTATATTGTGTCCTTTATAAGCTAAATACACTTTCCATAAAGCCACACATCTGTAATAGCTGCAACATGTCACTTATCCTGCCCTTGCCCCTCCCCTAGATGTGAATGTACGTAGACTAGGTGCCCCAGTCCCACTGTGAAGAGCTTCTTTGTCTCAATAACCATGCATCCCCATGATGGGCATTTACTGTCTATTGTCTGCAAGACTGAGGAAGGAAATGTGAACGAAACAAAATCTCCAAGTTAATGGGAGATAAGATACACATCGAAGTAATCATACCTCAGATCTGCATGCTATTCAGGAAATGCAGCTATCTTACTGGTTGCTTTCCCATATAGCTAGAAGACCTGTATCAGGTCTGTATTCATCCCAGCTCAGCACCAGTAACTATAGCTCATGGCCTGCTGGGAGGAGCTAGAGTGACAAGGCAGTCTGCAGGGTGCAGCCTGAGCCTGGGGTAGGATCTGTGGAAATGATGCCATGCATTGGAGTGATGAGGCCTCACAGTGGCCTGTCCTTTGTCAAGGAGGCTGGATAACGCCCCCCCCCCCCACTTCACAGGTATCAAGACTGAAGCTCAGTGGGGGCAGAACTGCTTCCCAGGGTCAAGGTTCACAATGGTGATGCCAGGTCAACACAGATTCCAAAACCTGGAGTCATCTATTTTTCAGTGAAAATTTTATCAAGCTTCAATTCGTTTTAAGTTTTGTGTATATGTATGTTTGTATACAGTGTGTATATGTGAGCGCAGGTGACAGAGGATGTTAGATCCCCTGGAGCTGGAGTCAGAGACAGTTGTGTGCCACCTGTGTGTGTACTGGGGTGGGGGGTGGGGGGAATTGAGGCTGGGTTCTCTGTAAAGAGCAGTATGCTGGGCTTTCTCTCTAGCTAAATGGAATAATCTCTTACCCAACAATCTTGGACCTCTGCACCTACAGAACCTTCTAAAGGCTATAACCTGCTTAACTGATTCTGTAACAGTGTTCCTAACCTCTTTGCATTGTCCTGGACAACAGACAAGGCACATCATACACCAAGCTGCCTTTGGCAAATGGTTACCATGTGCAGAGATCCCCTCCACCTATCTCTGCTTACTGGAATCAGTACAGTTATTGCCATAAGAAAGGAAGTTGATACTGACAACATATTCTTGATAGGACAGACACAACACTATCATATCAGGCATGCTAACCACAGATTTTAATATTGTTCAAAAACTTCTTTTCACTGGCTTAAACTATAGATAATTGGAAGCTTTTACATCGCAGTCTTGTGTACTCCTAGCTACTCAGAACACTGAGGCAGGAGGATCGAAGATTTAAAAATTGCCCAGGCTCCACAATGAGTTCAAACCCAGCCAGGACAACCTAAGGAGAATTTCTCTGTCTCAGAGAGCACTGAGGATACATCTTAGTGGCAGAGCACTTACTTGCCTGGAGTGCACGAGGCTTTAGTTTAATCCCTTAGTACAGTACCTCACCCCAACTAACCTGGTCACTGTTTTTTCTTTTAAATGTACTGAATTTTGTATCAAAAACTCAGATCTGTAAGTACAGTTGAGTGGCATGACCAGAGAGAGAAACAAGTGCCAGTACGTAAGTCCACAATGTATTCTTTAAGGGACCTAGGGCTTTGCAAATACATTTGGCGGTTAAATTCTATTGCATTTCCCTACAGGACTGTTAGAGATCACTGCACCTGCCCTGACTGCCTGCTACAGGGGCATCTTGAGCAGAAGGCAACAGCATGCCACTTCCTGAGGAGTCACCCAGCACTTGTGCCTGCCATGTGTTTGCTGGGGTAGTGGCAGGGGGTGGGGAATGTAATCACATGAAGTCAAATAAGCATTTCAGGGGTACAGACCTTTCCTTCCAGTTTGCCACCACTACCTGGATTATGAATGCTAATGGTCACTAATATTGAAATGCACTCTTACCATGAGAAACAGGTTCAGGCTTCTGGGATTTAACACCTTGCTAGGCATCAGGCTTTCCCCAAGTTCACATGACAGCCTTTCCAAAGGTTCCCCAAACCATATCATGGAAATCAAACCACGAGGCTTCAGCAAATCTCTGACATACATGAAAATACACACATTCAACTCATCTCTTACCTGATGGAGTTTAATGGACATACGGATTCCAGGCACAACAACTTTTCTCAACAGCTCCATGTCAGCAAATATCCACTCATCTCGGACTGAAGAAATCCTGAAGTCCCCTTTAAACAGGGCATGCAATCCATAGAGGAACGACTCCAGGTTACTGCAAGGTAGAGACAAAGGGCACGTGTTTTGAGAAAGGTCTTCATGACACTGATTCTTGTACCTGGTCTGCATCAGAACCATCTAGAGTGATTTGAAAACAGGAACTAAGGTCCAACTCCTAAGGGAGACTCACAGGAAATGGGTCCTGTTTGACTGGGAGCCCTCCTTACAAACTCATAGAGACAGACAATACACAAGAGAGCCTATGTGTTGAAGGGAATTAAGGAATCTGATGTAAAACATGTAGTCAGAAGAAATTCAAAATAGGAAATATTCCTTTAAAATACACACCACATTAAATGGTTTAGGCAAAGATTATAAAGAAATAAAGAAAAATAAACCAGGGAAATTTATTAGAAAAGTAGATAAAATATGAAGAGACCAATACAAAGTGATTATAAAATACTTTAAATCCATTAAATTGTTACAATTAGTAGCTATTCTCACAAGTGTGAATTTTAAAAGCCAGTTAGTTACTACAATGTAAGATATTTAGCAAGAACATTTATAGAAAAATGAAATCGCAGAAACTTTGCAGTAAAATGGCCCAGAATAAATGTTCCAAAATCCAACCAACCAACCAACCAACCAACCAACCAACCAACCAACCAACCAACCAACCAAATAAAGCACACTTCATCTAGGTCACAGAGCATGCTCACTGCTTCCTCTTTAGAAAATAGTGTTTACTTCATTGTGTGTATGCTCTGTCTCCATGTGTGTTTGTGTATCACACACCTGCCTAATGTTCACAGAGGGCATCAAATCCCCTGAAACTGGAGTTAGAAAGTTGGGAGCTACCATGTGGGCTGAGAATTGAACCCAGGTCTTCTGGAAGAGCAGCCAGTGCTAACCACTGAGCCATCTCTTTAGCCCCATCCCCTCCCTAATACCTTCTTGAAAACAGAGATGCCTCTTTACCTGGACATATGGTGGGAGGCTGTTCCCAAAGCTCTCCGCCCCAGAACACAGAGTCCATAACAAAGAGTCACCAGGGACGAATCTTTGTCTACATCTAGTGGCTTTAAAAATAAAGAACATTAGATATCAGAAAGCTATATAAGTATGTAACAAACCAGAAAATGTTCAATGGGTAAGTCAGAGACAGACAAGGACAGAGCTGAACTCTACAACCAGAAGAGTTCTCTTGATGGAACCCTGTCCTGGAGGGAGAGTGGAGGGAATGAGGCAGGGCCTGCCACACTGAAAGTGTCACTGAACTCGGAGCCAGTGCATCTCTAAGCTTAGAGGGCTTTCCTAGGCGACTATGGGAGCATAATGCTTGCTCGTAAGGAGATGGGTGTAATTTTGACTTGATTAAAGAGTAACTATTGCAGAAGGGAGAGTATATGGCTGGGAAATGCCACTAATAACTTAATTCTACAGGGACTGCATGGAATGAGTAGAATATACCCAAGGGCTGAGTGGGTGATAGTAATTTGTCTGAAGGTACTGGGGACACCCAGTTTGGAAGTAGGCTTCAAAAGATATTTATTTTATGTGTTTGAGCATTTTGTCTGGGCATATGTACGGGCACCACATGTATGTCTGAGGAGGCCAGAAGAGGGCATTGGATCTCCCAAAACTAGAGTTACCGATAGTTGTGAGTCACTCAGGTCCTCTACAAGAACAGCAAGTGTTCTTAAGTGTGGCCATCCCAGCCCCCAAGGTGACACTTTTGAATATATGATGTATGGGCATGAAGTAGGACTTCTTCAAGTTACGTCCAACCTTCCAATAACCTCCAAGAATACTTGAGGACAGAGGACATTTCTGAATGAGAAAATAGTGTACTTCAATACTATCTAAGCCAGAAAAGGGATATTATAACATACCCACATCCCCCAAATGCCCTCCAAATTTGCAAACATTATGCAAGAAGCCCTTAAGTAACTGTGACATGTTGGACTGCCAAATGCTGCAGACCTGCCCCATTAGAAGGGTGTTTTACCTCCTCATCGGTTCATCTTTAAAACAGGTGATTCTGATCAGCATATCCTGCACATCTAGACAGGAGGCACAAAACCACCCCATTCCTATTGATGAGAAGATGCTCAAATGGCAGAGTGCCTGCAAGTAGCTGAAAGTAAGGGCTAATGGTTTGGTAACCCTGTAGGCACTGGCTAACTTCAGGATACCAAGTACACAGGATGCTGGGTGCTCAGCCCCACAGACTTCTCCTGAGGAGGCAGTGAGACCTGGCAATAGTTCTTGGGGTCTGTGGTTTTCTAAGTCTGGCCAGGGGCGTGACAGTGCCATAAGCCTAGAAGAAACAGTAGTTGGAAAGTCTGTACTTCATCTTACTTCAGGGTAGGATAAGCTGCCCCAATGTGTGCATGGGGTAACACTTGTATCAAAGCCATTGGAAACTCCTACTTTTATATCTGTGGTCTGGACTTTCAGAATTAGAATTTCCTGGGAGAGGCCTAAACATCTTTATTTTCAAAGTGCATATCTAATTTCATACGGAAAGTCCTACCCTCTCCAACAGCAGTCACAGCTGCACACGCTATTACAAAGGATTACTAATAATCAGACATGTTAAACAATGTGAACTGGACTACTGAGGACACATGCACCACAGCTGCAAGTCCTCAAAGACAGCACTGGTCTAGACTTTGCATTTGAGACAAACAGTTAAGTCTGGTGGGCAATGCTTAAGGACTAGATTTTGGGAGTCTGTATGGAGTCAGAACTTGTGTACCACATGCTGCCTGGACAGTCAGGATGGTGCAAAAGGAAGCAGGACCATTCTTCAGCTGGCAGAGTTGGCCTGGCCCACATGTTCTGAAGAAGACATGCTACCTGACCCAGAGGATCTGAGAAGTGCAGGAAAAGCTGACTCAATAATAGGATAGTCTTCCCTTTTTTGCTAAAACCTGGATTCAGAGAGTTGCAAAGGACATGTAATAGCCTTACCTTTGCTCTCCGGGAGGAGCAGTACTCTATCCAGTTGAGGTAAATCACACAGAAACTCTCCCGAGATATGCCTGCCAGACGATGGTCATAGTCTTCATCAATGTTTGGGTTAAAAGTCGGGTCCACATCAACATAATTTCGGTCTGCACACAGACGTAATCCTTCCTGCATTGTCTCATTCGCTAGCCACTCCTCTAACTTGGAGGAGGTTGTGACATAATAAATGATCCCCTAATTAAAAAACACAGAGAATTCTAGTCAAATCAAAATGCAAATTCACTCTGATTTCTTACTGTCTACAAATATGGCTCAAAATACTTTAACACCATGTCCTACACCTACATTTTAAGAAAGCTACTTCAAGCCTTCTTAAAAGAAAACACCACCCAGTACTTTAAAATCATAACCATCTTAAGAGCCTAAGTTAATGTGTAAGCTCTACTTGCCCAAGGACAAGATAACTTCCTAGAATGCTGGAAGTTGTGGGTCTTCCATGTTTTCACTTCCCTAAACAAGTCTGTTTGAACCAACTGCACTGGATGTGCCTGATCACATGTAGGTGGGAGGTTCACAGCAGGAAATATGTCAGGATGTATGCTTGCTCCTGAATGGATTTGATGGGATTTGCAATGATTGTGGGTTTTGCCTTGTACACACTCCCTGGGAATCTCAGAGGTAGACTTGACCAGAGTTCATCTTTGTGGCCAGTATTTAATTAAAGCTTGCTTCAATTTATGGAATTGGTCTTTCTCTCAAGAATCTCAGAATTAACACTCAGTAAGGCAACTTGCAGTCTATCAATTTCAGTGTTTGAATTCAGAGTATTTTTAAAGAGGTAAAAAATTATTGTGCTGCATTTATTTTGAAAAAATTCTCATAAAAAGTTAAAAATTTGGTGTCCATAGGTCAAGTGAAAGAAATAAAGTCAAACACAAATATAAAGGGAGGCACATATGCACATGAATGCATGCAGGCACACACATACATACACATACACACAGAGACAGAGACAGAGAGAAAAAGAGAGAAGACAGACAGACAGACAGACATGTAAGAACAAATACCCAAGTTAAGAAAAAATGTTGTAATGTTGTAAATCCAGTTCTTTAGCTTCTTGGGTTTAACTAAATGGAAGGCTCAAGGTTCATCAAAATCAGCACAAATAATGTGGAACCTAAGTGTTTACAATGTAAAATACAAAAAATTCAGATGTTTCAATCATGGCTTACCACACACGCCTCTCATAAAAATACTGACTTAGCTGGGCTTCATGAGACACTTTTAATCCCAACAGGGAAACATAGGCAATAGGTCTCTGAAGATTCCGGGCCAACCTGGTCTATATAACAAGGTCTAGGGCAGCCAGAGCTATACAGTGATACTCAGTCTCAACGAAACAAAACAAAACAACAAAAAACTGTCTTCACTTATAAAGGACTATTCTTGGCAGATGAGGAGTCTGGCTTTGCCCTCAAACCTGGTAAGTCTTTGTTCTCTGGGATAGAGATCCACAGTCTCAATGTGACCTTCAGAAGTCCTGGAAACGTTTGTCAACTCCACCTGACTGCAGATCTGGGTGTCTTAAGAGTTGTGCAGGTATACGCATGTGCTCAATACTCAATAGTCCTAAACCATGAGATACGATGCCAGCTATTAATGGAATAAGCAATATCAAGATATTCATGGGGGGATTATTATTTTTTTTCCATAGGTATTTTTTAGTTGACTTCTCTGGATACTAGTAAATTCAAGTCTTTACTCAGAAGCAACACACAAGTTTGAGAGACTATGAAGGTGTAAGTAGGTTAGTAGTGAGTACTCACTTAGCTCTGAGCTTCATCTTTGCTATTAGTATAGCAAAAATGAATGGAGGAATGCACACATGAATGAAAGAATAAAAATGTGCACTGGTCTGTGTGTGTGCATGTATGTATGTGCATGTATGTATGTATGTGTGTGCACATGCCTGTCGTTTCTTTCCCAAGAAACCCCTCCTGTGCTCAGAGGTCTATGCAGACACACAGACTTACCTTGACATAGTAAGTGGTAAGTACCCTGCGAAGATCAAAGACTTGAAGCATGGAAGCAGCACTATTGTCAGTGATGCTGTAGCCCTCCAGAATATACTTAGTGACGACCACTTCCCAAGCCAGCCAGCGCTGGCCAAATGCAGCGTTAAAGGAAAGCACATGAGGAACATGGCCAGGCTCACAACAGCAAAATCCTTCATCTTCTTCTACACCTTCTGTGATGGCTTCAACTTCTCGCTGCTGACAATAGGTGCCTTAAAGACAAGACCGTTATAGACAAAGGCAAAAAATTAACAATTGGGAAAAAGGAAGCCTAATGAGCACAATTTAGACACATTTTACAGCAGTTCAGAATATATGATTGATTTGCCTTAGAGCATTCATCATCAAACTGTGGTAAACTCCAGAATCCAGGCAGACTTCATCATTTGCAGGATCACTGCAAGCTTTAGCACATTCAAGACCCAGGATTTATGTTATAAAGTAGTTGTTTAATTCTGACTAAAGGATTTCTAAAACTTTTTAATGGGCTTATAATTGCATTAATATCAAGTAAAGGCCAAATGAGTAAATGTTCATCTCCTAAAGATGTGCACTGATCACAAATGAACAGCGGGAGGATGCTGCCTTGTCAGGAGGGGTCTTCTAACTTAGAGGCAACAGACACAGAAGAAGCACAGTTTGTTCATATCCCGGGCACTTCTCAAACCAATCAACTTGACAAGAGAAGCTATCCTCTGATTGGCTCTTTTTCCAAGAAAATGCTTCCTTGTTTTCCATTACAAACTAAAAACACCCCAAAGAACTTCTTAGAAAGGCTAAAGCTCTTCAGAAATGTCCAAGTCTGAATGTTCCCCATCAGAAATATAATCAATAATAAAACTTGAAATTTCCATAAAGCAAACTTCATGTGTCCTACCATGTATACATGCTAGTTATAGTTGCAGAATTTGATAACACAATTTCTGACTGTATGATTTTCTGTGTAGTATGAATTGGTTTGTTGGCACATAAAGCTGCAGAGAGCTGACAGGAGGGGCAATGAGGAGTAACTTTAATGGGTTTTACTAGAAGGAACTGCATGGAAATAGTGGTTGCACACTGTGAATGTACACTAGGGACACCATGTCTTTTCTGTTTAAACAGTTGTCTTTAGGTTATGTGATTTCATTTCAATTGAAAAAACTGAGAGAATTGGGCATGGTGACACACACTTCAATCCTAGCACTGGGGAGGCAGAGGCAGGTGGAGCTCTATGAATTTGAGTCCAGCCTGTAGATATAGTGAGCTCCAGGACAGCCAGAGCTACAGAGTGGAACCCTGTCTTGAAAATAACAATAACAACAGATTATTAGGACAATGGCAGGGTGCTTTACGAACACGGCTCAGTTAACTATCTTCTGGTTCTTTAGTCTTTAGCCCTTGAGCAAACACGTGCAAGTGGTGACAAGGGGCCTGGCAAGAGAGCAGAGCAGGAGACAGCACCCTCAGGGACACAGGCCAATTGCACGTAAGTGCCGTCAGCGCTTTTCTTCGGGAGGAGGAAGATAATGCTGTGTTACAATCCCAAAGGTCTCTTCTTCCAACTCCCCCAAGACTTGTTTATTATTTTATGTGTATGCGTGTGTCCCTGAGTACATATGTATGTGTACCACATGCATGCAAGCAGCAGAGGGTGTCAGAACCCAGAACTGGAAGTGTAAGACACCTGATCTGGTTGGGAATGAATGGAAGCTGGGTCCTCTGGATATGCAGCAAATGCTCCTTCCAGCGAAGCCATCTTCCTGCTGGCAATTCTGAGCTTTTCATTTGGGATTTAAACATTTGGGATAAAACTTAGCTATCACAAGCACACCATGAGAGTAAGAGGTGAATGGGCGACTTACCTCTGAACTCAAGTCCCCGCAGCTGGAAAGTGACCAGGCCATTGCCTATCTCTATGAGGTGCACTAAGGCGTTGAGATAGTCAGAGGCAAGGATGAAACAGTCCCCAGTACTGTAGTTTCCCCACCTTCCCAACAGCAAATCACCACAGAGACTGTGCTGCAGGGATCGGGTTAAATGTTCATAGAAGATGGAATTCAGATTGTTGTCATCTGACCCTGTAAGAAGAGATGTTAAGAATAATTTATTTCACTTTAAGTACCTGTTGTATCGACAAATAACATCACTAAAAACACTGAAACTAGCTAGTCACAATGTGGGTGGCAATCCCAGCACTGAAGAACAGAGACAGGAAGACCGCCACAAACTTGGGGCCAGCCTGTGCTACAGACTGAGACAAAACAACATAAAATTAAATTCCTCTTACAGCTGTGTTGACAGGAAAAAAAAAATAGATGACATATACCTACAATTTGTACACAAAAGCAAAGCAGTGTTATGATTTGCACGCACAATGTCTCGCAAAGGCTCATGCCTAGCTGGTGACATCAGTGGGAGGGGGTGAAAACAGTAGGAGTTGGTTCTGAGTAGAAGGAAGTATGGCGGTTCTACCAGAGGCCATGCCAGCTGCCAGAAGCCCAGATCAATGCCTAGCCCAACTGTCATCGAGAGGCCTCCATGGCTGCTGACGGGAACAGATTCAGAGACCACAGCCAAATACTAGGCAGAGAGCCGGAATAGGAGATCTCCACTAGGTACCTCCCCTAGGAGCTCAGAGACCCTGGGAAGACAGGGAGGAAGACCAAAGGGGCAACCGTGTCCCTACAAATCTTCAGACTGAATGCAATGAACTTCTGTCTCCTCCTGCCTTGTAGTCCTCTCTCCCCAACCCACCCATATCACTCCTGTCTCCACCTCCCTAGTGCTGGGATTAAAAATGTGTGAGTCCCAAGTACTGGGATTAAAGGTGTGAGCCACCACCACTTGGTTCTGTTTCTCTTTTAGACTGGATCAATCTTGTGTTGCCCAGGATGAACTTGAACTCACAGAGATCTGCCTGCCTCTCTCTCCCAAGTGCTGGGATTAAAGGTGTGCACCAACCACTACTGCCTGGCCTATATGGTTAACTAATGAGTGGCTAGCGCCACACTGATCTTCAGGCAAGCTTTGTTAGATCACAAACAAAATATCAACACACCTTTCCATTAAAAATATACAGGATTCAAGAGAACAAAATATGATCTGGTAAAGGAAGTTGCTGAGATTGTGTAACATTTTAACTAACAAACAAAAGAACCAAATTAAAAAGAAATGCTGTGGAGGCTCCTACAAAGCAGGTAAAGTGAACATGCAGACACAGCAGCGGCACCTGCAGAGCTGGACGTGAGCTATACTGAAGAAAAGCACTGGCAAAACCACCGCCAATTCGTGATGGACAGGATAACAGCCGGTTACCTTTGCAGCAGCAGCCCTGAGCTGTAGTCAGAGTACTGGAGGGAGGCAAATACTCAAGGCTTGGGAACGATTTTAAACTCACACTAACTACACATTAAGACAATGAGGGGGAAATGTGAGTCTAATTGTATGTCTGCCCATTAAAAAGTTGTGTGATTTCTTTCTAAGCATAGTGTGACCAGGGACCAAGAATCCCAAGCCTGTGTGAGCACGTGTTGGAGATGAGGTGGTTTTTTGCCCCCATGAGGCTGTAAGTGAGCAATCCCAGTAAAGGGCTCTCCCTAGTTCCATTTCCTAATTGAAAATCAATTTGATTCTTAGAGTTTGGTTTCTCAGATGGATAGAGCATTTGAAGAAATTAAACGGAAACATATTCCAGTCTATTTGGGAATAATGTTAATTAGTTTCCTGAGCTAATTAACTGATTCATTAGTCTCACATAGTTGGAGCAGCAATGTTTCCAGGAATAGGGTGATAAAATGAGATTTTCCAAATAAGCTAGGAATCAAACTCTGGATATTGATACCGCCATTCAAATTCTACCCACTGAAGCATCACCTTGGGTTTGTATGAAAATTCCCAATAATATCCATTCATACAATTAATTAAAAAAAATTAAAATTTAATATTTACTTAGCACTTGGGAGAAAGGTTTAAGGACACATGCTGGCACACTCAACATTCTTATCTAGTTTTCATTTGATTTCTACTTAGCTTCCATAAGAACTGTACTTGAATGGCATATTTAAAATTCCTGTTGGCATTCTTAAGATACATTTTATCAAGGATGAGTATATATACTGGATATGTGCTAGGTCACATATACTATGCTTTGCTAAAGTAAAAAAGAAAAAAGTACAGGATATCTAGCTTTTAAGAAATGATTATTTGTACCTGTAATCCAAAGCCTACAGGAGACTGAGGCAAGAGGATGGTGAATTAAGGCCAGTCTGTACTTCATTATAAGTTCAAAGCCAGGAGTGGGCTACATAGGGATCCTGTGTCAAACAGACAAATGGAGCTACTTTTAGAGAGTTTATAGTAAGTGGGGAGTGAAGCTATGGATGTGTTGTGTGGCGGGGGTAGGATAGGGGTGCGTGTGCGTGCACATGTTCACCCACGTGCATATGTACACACAAACACATAAAGCAAACCCTCTGACTTGTCTCTTTACAGACAGGGTTATTACCTGGATTTCTATCAAGCTGAGAAGCCAATCTGGTATTTGAATGGTCCACACGTTTTGTGCTGAAGGAAACAAAAATAAAACATTTTTAGTATTTTATACTTAAAAAAAAAAAAAGCAAGAGAAAAACTACAAGACAGATAAATCTCAACTCTGTAGGAAAATCTCTGGGAAAAAAAACTATGATTAGATAATAATCAATTTAGTAGCACAGACTTACAGTTAAAATTTTTTATTTTCCTTCATACCTTCACAACACATAAACACAAGTGTTCTTCTAATTCATGTTTCATTAAAGAGTATAAAAAGACACCTATGAATGTACTGAAAATGAAAATTGACCAGAAGGAAAAAATACTGACTACACACAGCTCTCCTAAGTGCATGGCCATGGAAGCTTCTTCTCAGGGGAATGTATACCTAGTTATGCCCAGAAGCCCTGTGGTCCACAGAAGGTCAGCTTCCCAGATGGAGCCGGGAGAAGCAAAGGCTCTCTCAGTTTTCCAAGTCAGAGCTATCCCAATACCAAGCTGTGCTTGCTGTTTCTCAGCATTTGACACCTGCACTGGCAGCGTAAGGTTGGTGCCTGAGCATGAACCAGGCAGGGGCTCACACGGTACCCAGCCTTCACCACCACCCAGCCTTCACCACCACACACATGAAATCAGTTAACTCATCTGTCTAGAAATCCCAAGGAAAGCAGCAGAGCTGAAAGTAAGAACTGTCACTCCTCAGTACAGGCCACGTCGGTATTCTGTATGCAAAAGCAGACAATTCATCTAGCACTCCAGCCACTCTGAAGTGCTACACTGTCTTGTGCATCAATCAGAACTACAGGCTCCGAAACCAACCAACCAACCAAACAAACAAACAAAAAAAACCACTGTCACTTCACTTCAAGATGGTGAAAAAAGCATGAAGTTACTCAGATGTGTTGCTTTACAGGCATGTATCAGCACAGAGAAGACCGACCTGTCACTTCAAGGGAAGCATGGCAGCAGCACAACAACAAAATCCAAAACTTCAAGCAAAATAACAGAATTTGGAAAACTTGTACCACAACCGTGAGTGTGCAACACACTTTACAACTCCTCTTCTGAGACTGGTGATACTGTGAACATCTTTCTAAAGGGCCATACAATGATTCTACCCAGCACTTGAGGTTTATGTACAAGCAAAATCTCTCAAAGAAGATGAATAGATCAGTGTAGACAAAGCACACTTCTCAATGTTCAGATTCAGTTTAGATTCCACCCTAAAACTAGTTTTTAAGAAATCATTATTTGCCAGGTGTTGGTGGCACATGGCTTTAATCCCAGCACTCAAGAAGTAGAGGTAGCTGAATATCTGAGTTTGAGACCACTCTAATCTACAGAGTGAGTTCCAGGACAGCCAGGGCTACACAGAGAAACCCTATTTTGAAAAACAAAACATAATACAAACAACCCACCCCCAAAAAACAAATAATCTCCCCACACAAACAAAAACAAAAAAAAAAAAACCCCACACCACCATTTCTTCTTGAGTTTTGGTGAGAGATCAAGGAAAGACACCTACAACTGTCTAAAATACTTCTTTCTGGGGCCAGAGAGATGCCCAGTGGTTAAGAGCAGTAGCTGCTCTTGTGGAAAACCTGGGTTGGGTCCCCAGTACCCACATAGTGGCTCATGACTGTCCTTCACTCTAGTTCCAGGAGATCCAATGCCCTCTTCTGAATTCCTCAAATAGAAGTTAATACGCAATGCACATACATACACACATCCAGATAAGAACACTCAGAATATTTATAAAAAAGCACACAGTGTATCTGTGAGGACAGATTTTCTTCCTTTATTTCAAGGGAAATGACACCCTGCAAGAGACTGATGCAACAGCATGAAGCATGGACCTAACCTGTCTTTCCGCAAGCAAGACATTATAAAGGTTTGCAAAACTGGACACTGCAATCTTACTCAAACTTTGGTGGGTGGGAAATACTCTCAGCTTAAAATGGTATTTATGTTAATATGGATTTTGTTTTTAGAGATAGGGTCTTGCCATGTAGTCTAAGCTGATTTCAAATTTGTAATCCTCATTCTTCAGACTCTGAGTTCGGGAATGATAGATTTTAAATGAATAAACATTTGAATTCTTAAAAGGATTTCTTTGAAAATGTTGTTGAATAAAACTTCTATTTAAATGCTATGGCATCTTGAGTATTTTTAAGGGTACCAAAAATATTGATACAAACTGTTAAGAACTGCTATCACAGAATATAACTTCTGGTCGGGAGTTGGCCCAGAAAAATATGACACAGAAAGTAATGAAAATGGGAAACACCCCCTACAGTTTCAGATGAGGGGCCAAAGCAGAAATGTCAAGCTTACAATCTGGATCCCTGTGTCAAAGCTGAAACCACCATCTTCCTGAGTACAAATGTCATTGCACTGCAGTGTAGAGAGAGACACCATGGGACGGTGAGAATATAAATCCAGACAAGCTGTTTTCTAGAACAACACGTAAATACACAATTGTTCACGTCCCTCACTCAGAATGACTCAGCAACTTTTCCTTTAAAAAGAGCATATGTGGACAAACTGGGCAAGCTGTTCTAAGCATTAGACTAAACAGCCAGTCTAAGAAACAAAGTCTGTATGCCTTTTCTTCCTGAAAAGGCAAAGACATATCTAAGAGGTTAGCTCTAGAAACATATTCCTAAGAATTTTTTAAGGAAAATATGCTATAGCTCACCATAGTAGTTATAATGGTGTAATGCTGTATAACGTGTGTCACAGTGTTACTGATAGGGACTAATTCCAAGATGTCATTGAAGAATATGCAGAAAAAGAGTATAATTAGGACTATACTTTTAAGAATAGTATAAATAGATGAAAAATTAAAGATCAATTTTCTCCACTATATAATCTGCAAACTTTAAAAACACTTGTAGCTGGCAGTGGCAGCACACACCTTTAATCCCAGCATTTGGGAGGCAAAGACAGGTGGATCTCTGTGCATTCGAGACCAGCCTGGTCTATAGGGCAGCCAGGTCTCAAAGAGAAACTCTGTCTTGAAAAACAAATCATAACACCAAAAAACAAAATCAACCAACCAAACAAACAAACAAAAAAAAAATTGTAAAATTTTGGGAAAACCCAATATTTTATTACAACAAATTATAATAAAAGGAAATTTTCCATAATGATGTGATTTTTTTTCCCTGTAAAAAGACAGAAACTAGCTTCTGTGTACTTTATTTACTCACTTGTAGTCTCTTTCCCAGAACTTCACGGGTCTAACGTACGAGGTGATGAATATGGCACTGCCTAGGAATGGATTTAACGGCGTGGAGAAGAAGGCGGACACGGCTGCCTGAACGAACAGCATAGCTGAATCTATGAGGAAATGGTTAAGGACCAAACACGACACACACACACACACACACATACACACACACACACACACACACACACACACAGAGACAAGGAAAGTCCATGTGTCAGTCTTGTGATGAAACACAATTGGGGCCAAATGAGAGGGCTCTGCAGGTGATGGTGCTTGCTGCCAAGCCTCAGCATTCTGCTGGAAGGAGAGAGCTGACTCTTCCCAGGTGTCTTCTGACCTCTACATGTGCAACACACGTGCACAGTAAGTAAATACATGTCATGAAATACTTTTTAAAAAATTGCAGCACTGAACCGAAAACACTCAAAGTCTGCATTCACACGCGGCTGGAGTCATTAGTTTTCACAGTTATTTTAAAGTGCTTCTCAAGCATGAGAAGGAGGGAAATTTTCACCCAGAAATTAAATTACGATTGTTACGAAAAATGGTCTGTTGATTTGTTCCAAGGGCATTAAAAGTTCCTAGACTTTAATAACATTCATAACTTACATTTTAATAAAATATTTAGAAATATTTAGCATTACTCATTACAAATCCTTACTCTTTCCTCGAGTTTGGCTACTCTGTGGCTTGCACAGCGTACGTCAGGATAGGCAGTTGTTCTCCAGCGCCTGTGAGCCTTGCTGGCTCGTCACCAATCCTGGCATTTATGTCTGCTGTAAAGAGTAACTGTAGGCTGACATTCTCATCAAGGATATGACTAGCCATTCTCATAAACTGTAGTGAAGGATACGGGGCACCGCAAAGGGCTGAGCAAAAGCATGGAATGCAGAGCCCCAAGTGATCTGCCAGGGCGCGACATAGGTATACACGAACTGAAGTTTATAGAGGAGTTCCCAAAGCTGTGGAAAGAAGGGAAAAGTTGTCAGGAAAATACTAAGCAGGCTCTTCAATCAGAAAACAAAAGGCCTATAAAATGTGCCTTCTTCCTATCAGGGAAATGACACTGAAATTATTTTCCAATTGCACAGTAAGACAAGATTTATCGACTGCCAAAACATTGGCATTATTTTAATATAAACATATATGTGTGTGTGTGTATGCATGTAATACACAGACTTAAAGATTGGTGTTTTAAGAGCTATCTGCCCTCTTCTGGACAGTTGTGGTATTGCTACTATGCTACTACTATAAGCAAAATGAGGGGCAGAAGCCACAAATCTCCTGTCCTTGAGCAGAAACTCTAGGTGTCTCTAATACATTCATGTATTTTATCCCAGGACACATTACCCTTGAACTTTAAAGCTTGGGAGTAAAGTATGCTCCAAATGTAATGACACAAGGAACCAGGAAACAATTTCTTTAATGCAGTGGCCACTGCCCATTGAACAGCAATTCCTTTGTACTAGGCATCTGTCACTACAGGTGGATACAGTCCACATGTAAGCCTCATCTGACTCTGGCGCCTATGAACCACAGTGACAAGCTTTTAATATGCTCCAGAAAAACTGGGGACTGAAGAGGACTGTCACTTAAAAGCCAGTAAGGCAAATGAGACAGCAGCATAGACCTCAGCAAGCAAGCATTCATTCACTTAGGGAGTGAGCATCTCTGCAGACAGACGCTCCTTCTGGGGTAGATTACCTTGCTGAACAGGATGGACATAAAGAATAGGTCCAGCAGCATTGTCTCTGAGAAGGCTTCATAGTCAAACTTGAAAAAGAGCACAGTAAAGACGACAGTGATGTACTGGTACGTGGGGCTGCTAAAGGAGGACCTCAGCAGCTTTAGGCCAGCGATGGTGATCATCAAAGCTCCCAACCTGTCACAGACAGAGGCACAGCCCGTCAGCTCGCAGCTGAAGGACCCAGCACCCACCAACCCTGAAGTTACTATGAACCCACTAAGCTTACAATATGGGCCAGATTTAAATCTCTGGGATTGATTTATAAGAGCAAGATGGGTGTGTACACCCATGATTCCAGAACTTAAGAGATCACAAGGTCAGTGTCAACTCCTTTGTCTCACGAAATATATACATAATAACAATAATTTCCACGGATAAGCATTATTACATCCTGAAAGGTACTAACATAGTATTCTTTTTATTATTATATACTAAGATCTTTGTCCTGTACATAAATAAGCAAGTTTAAAAATAAAGTTATAGTTCTGAAATCTAGTTCTCTAGTTTTAAACTTCTATCACTTTAATATTAGTTGCATTTAATATATGAAAAACATGCCATAATATGGAGCTAAACTAGTGAGTGTGATTATAGATAAGATGACCATGTAGGCAAATGACCAACCCCAGTCTGATTTACACAGTACACACAACCATCTCCCAAACTTGCCAGCTAATATTAAAACTAATTTTATTTTTAATTTTTTAAATTATGTTTTTTACAAGTGCACATGTGTGTATGTGCACATGCACACTGGCCACAGCATGTATGGAGGTCAGAAGACAACTTGCTGGAGTTGGTTCTCTCCTTCCACTATGTGGGTCCCAGGGATTGATCTCAGGGCATGAAGCTTGGCGGCAGCACCCTTACCTGCTGAGCCATCTAGCCAGCCCCCAATCTAACTTTACTCAATTAGTGTCCTCTCATGAAATACTGATTGACAGTAAGGAGTCAGAACAGTAAAAACAGTGATGTCCAAAGAAGGGAAGACAAAAGAAATTTTCACCTGAGCCAGAGATACAGTGTTTAATGACCTGGCTAGTGACTAGAGATGGCTTTACCAAGTGTAAGGCATTGTTTATCACTGCACTAATCTAAGCACACACATTACAGACTATGGACTTACTCTGCATCCAGTTTCTTTGGGTTGGCAATTGTCTCTGCACTGCTGCTAAGTTCATTAAGGACAATCAGTGGATAGATGACATTCTTCTCCACAACAAGAAGCCACACGTGAAGTTTTTCAAACCACATCATAGTGGCTGCATCTGATGAGGCAAAAAGCCAAGAAGATCATAGTTCATACAATGATCAAAGCAGAGGGCGTATGGTAAGAAGGATGGACTTATGACTCAAATTCAGCTTGATGCTATCAGCACAAAAGCATAAGAAATCCATACTTCAAAAAAAAAAAAAGGTAATATATTAAGCATAAATTGAAAAAAGAAAAGAAATCCATACTTCAACAGTCAATTTCTATGTGCTTTGAAATACCTCATATCCCCCAAAACACACACACACACACACACACACACACACACACACACACACGCACGCACGCACGCACGCACGCACGCACACACACGCGCACACACACACACACTTTCCAACCTGAACACAACTTACACTTAAGTTTACTTTTATAAGCTGTTTGTGTAAAGTTGTGGGTCAGGCCAAGGGAACTGCACCTCCAGCATAACCTCCATTTCTTGAGACCTTATTTTTATCTATGATTTCTCTCATCTTCTGTATTTGTATGCAGCAGAAGTTACTAAAGATTCTTAGGCTGTGCCTCATCCCTAAATAAGTAAGATCTATTAAAGTATCTGGTTTTTAAATGCTAAGGAGTATGCTTAAGTTACACATATGTAAGGTTTACATTCACCCAGCTTACTGAAGTCATGTTCATCATGACTTCACAGTTCTCTGGCTTGCTCAAACAGTACAGTTGGTGATTAGGAAGTCTTTACTTCTAACACCAGTACAAGGAAACAAAACTTTACTATAGTTTAGAACTTTCAATAGGTCACAATTGTTATGGTGATTCAAAACCTGTAAAAATTTAGACATTAAGGAAATACACAACCACTAAAACTATTGATTTTAAAAGCAAACTAGACATATTTGGTACTATTTACTTATAAAAGTGATGGAAATAGTTTATCATAAAAAAAAATGAAAGCTTCTCACTCCATGCTACTTTTTTGATGCCAAGAGCAGGCTAATACCAATTTTTACAGTTTCACAAAATCCTTCCCTTATTAAAAGGGCACATACTAGGCTGGAGAGCTGGCTCAGTGGTTAGGAGCACTAGCTGCTCTTCCAGAGGTTGAGTTCAATTCTCAGCACCCACATGGTGGCTCACAGCCATTTATAATGGGGTCTGATTCCTTCTTCTGGCATAAAGACGCACGCACGCACGTGCGCGCGCTCACACACAGACACACAGACACACACACATACATACACACACACACACAGGCACATAATTTGTAAAGGGCCTCCATCACACTGCTCATTAGTACTGGGCTGCCTCTCCAGGGTCCAAGGAGTGGTCAGCACTGAGGCACCAGGCTGCTTCAGTCAGTTCCACTAAGAGGGGCATTGTGAGGACAAAAGTCAACTTTGTTAAAGTTTCAAAGGCTTCAGTGTTCTTCATAAATACCAACTCATCATTAAATGACTGGGTGAGTCGTTCATTCCCTATAGCAGTTCACTGAAGACCAAGGAGGGAAACTTGGCTGATTTAGTCACCTGTGCATAGGCAATGGCCCATCACAGGGCTAACGCACAAGGACAAGTAAGTCACAGTTCACAGTGCAAGGCAGAGCTTGCTAAATGGGCAGGCCTTCTATTTCTTTTTGAGTCATTTTATGCCTTATCCTAGATCTGAATAGCAACTGCACAAAGGTTTGTTTCTATTGTTCTAAAGTAGGACAGTGCTGCTAGTGGGCTAAGGGACAAAGGCCCCTCTTCCTTCCGAAGCCTGAGTTAGAAACTAGGGACTGCTAGATAGAAAAGTCACATGCAAGATGCATCAGTGACAGGTCTGAGAACAGCTAGAGCAGGAAGTCTGCTCTGAGGAGATGGTCTTGGGGTACAGACACTGCTCTTTCAGGGCAGACAGTGCCCTACAGGAGATGGTTCACCAGGAGCTTCAAATCCACGCAAGAAACACAAACGAGCCCGAGCGTGACCCATAACGCCTGGTTAAGCCAGCTGCTGGCGTGGGAAAGTGAGCCACGAGACCAAGGGTGTAAGGACACTTACTTCGAACTTCGTACTGATTGTGCTCGGCTGTCCTGAGCAGAGGTCGGGAGAAGCAGTGCCACGGCAGCTGCTTCCTTACTTGAGGCAGCACGTAATGGGTTACAAACCCCACACAGCCAACCAGGGCATACAGCACGTACTTGAGAGCAGGCTGAAAGAAGAACAGAGGCCAGGGTGTTAGGAGCTCCGGCCGCCCGGCTCACTGCACAGCTCCCAGGTGGCTGGTTCCACTTTCCATTCAATAGGGGAAGAGCAAAGTCAATCTTAGAATCTAGAAGATACAGTGTAACTTTACTGTACCTGTGGGGTTTTTTTCTGCCTAAATGAACCACTGAACATTTGCTGACTTGCTTTAGTAATATCTGAAACATGTTTAGTAACTTTGGTGTCTGACACTATATTCCATGAAAGTGACTAGAATTGTTGCTTTCTGCTTCAAGAATGTTCTCTGTGACTCGGTGAGCAATGGATTCAAGTGTTTGAACGAGTGGGGATAAGGAACATAAGTCAGTCTGAGAGAAGAGCAGAACAGAGTAGAACAAAGTGTCTTTTGTTTTTGCATGTTGTGCTGTCACAGGCGGGTGCCTTGTACAACTAGATTCACAGAAGGAAGGATCAACACCATTTCTTCCCATATTAAAACCAAAACATATATACTTAGCAACCCTGGAGCCCCCTTGGGAACACCCCTGAGGGTGTTCAGGAATTCAGAGTTCAAATTGGAGCGAAGAAATACAAGCAAACATATTTAACAATAGCAAATAATTGATGGAGCCTTTGCCTCTGCCCAAGTGGGGAACAGTGACTTACCCTCGCATAGCAAAGAACCAAAACTGAAGAAAACACGCAACCCAGTGGCTTGTACTAGGTAACAGCTCCAGAAATAAGCCCGTGCCCAGGAAAGGGAAGGGAGCCACCGAAGGGGGCTGTGCCTGACCACTCATGGCTCCAAGAGGAGGCGCTCTCAGAACTGGGGCTTCACTAGCAGAGACAGTGAACCCAAGGGAAAGGGCAGAGCAGACCTGAGATCTGCAGACCGGTCAGCCCTTCAGGTATCCTCAGGGATGGGAGCCACACACATGAGGAAAATATAGGAACCATAGGAGGGAGCGGACAAGAAAGCACACAGCACTCTCACAAGACTGGAAGAGTGCCACCCTCACAAGCAAGCCTGAGAAACGCAAGATTCACATGCACCAAGAGAGGCCTAAACAGGGAAATCCTGGGCCCTGTCCCACCTCATACACCGCTTTAACAAAAAGCAAGCCCTGAGGGGATCAAACTGTTAACAAGTACTAACAGTATCTCGGAACAATGTTCAAGTACTTCTGGAAACCCAAAAATTAACACCTAATGAGGTAAAATTTACACTGATGGCATCCACTCAGCACCCATATGGCCCTCTGAACACATTCAAGACCTGCTCCAGAGGGGATGTGCTGGACCAATGTCTGGTACTCGCTAACAACCCACGTCTGGGGAGGTGGCAGGCTCATGCAGGGAATAGATTTCTGATGGTTAACTACACAGACACAGCAGCAAACTGCCTTCTAAATACCTATAACTCTACCTACAGAAAAAAGCAGCTCCAGCCTTAATCAGGAAGGCCTACCCTTACAAAGAACAGTGTGAACTTAGAGACTCTGCCCCAAATGCAGAAAACAAGTCAGACATGTAAGCCCAACTCTAAACCTGGAACTTCACAGTCTCAGTACTGATCTGCAGCTCAGGGAACGCTATGGGAGGCAGAGCTGGGAAAAAGAAAGGGCTCTGAGGCAGCATCCATTAGACCCAAGAGAACCGCTGGGCCACAAGGCCAGCCCTTACCAACATTCAGTCACAGTCACAGATCGAGGAGGGAGCAGCAGGGCTCGACCCTTTACCTCTGAACAGATTCTGGGAGATTCTGCTGAAGAGCCCACCACACTCCGATGGAGAGTTTTAACCCCACTGTCATACAGATAGCCCTGGTTAATCTTGGTGGGTCACAAAACAAAACAAGTAGACATGAACACAGAGATTTGTGAGGTGGGAGGGTGGCCAGGGGTAGTAGGGAGCTAGGAGGTAAAAGTGGCCACAAGTGACATGTACACATGTGAAACTGAAAAAAAATAAATAAAATTATGTATGTACTAAGAATCAGGACACCACAGCTCAGAGTGATGGGGGAAAACCAACTAATCGGAACCAACCCTCAGTGGTACAGATGTCAACATCAGAGGATAAGGACGCTCTCATGAATAACAGCCCAAATCTGTAAGTCCAGAACACTATCCTGACATAAAAAAGGCCTCAACACACTTTCTTTTTAAGGGGGTGGTTTCTCTGTGTGTTCCTAGCTGTCCTTGATCTCGCTCTGTCAAAGGACAAGGTGGCGTTCAGATAGAAGGCCAGCCTGTGTGGATTGCACATGAGGAGCAGAGCCCAAGGTTGTACCCATCCCTGAACTTGCCTAGATATCAGGACTCAACTCTTCCAGCTCAGGAAAGCCTGTGGAGTTTAGGAGAAAGAAAAAGAAAAACCGCACATCCCTTACATACTTACATACAGGAGGGACATGAATCATGAGGGCTCGAGGCCAGGCTGGCAGCCGGCTTCCAGGATGTCCCCCATGGCCCTGACTTCCTAGTGTCTGTGCCTCTGTATATTTGCTTCCCATGCCATCCCAGTTAGCCTTTGTGACCAAGAGAACTAAGAAGGATGGTATGCTATTTGTGAATGAGATTCTAAAGGAATGCATTTTGGCTGGGGCTTTCTCTAGGCTCGCTTGCTCTGTGGAAAACCTTTAGGGAACAGTTGGGGAGCTTCTGGAATGATGCATGGACAGGATCTGAAGTCTGTAGCCAGCAGGTGAGTGAGGAAATGAGGACTGCAGTAACAGGAAAAGCTCCTGAGCCTCTCACAAAGATTTATAGCCCAGAGAAAAGTTGACAAAATACTTAAACAAAACTCATATATGCTAGCACTGAGTTAACAGAAGCCAGGTCCTCCTAACAGTCAGCTAGGATGGGGAGGACTCGTGGGCCCCAACAGATACTAGAAAAGAGGGCACAGGATTGAGGGTGTACCCATGGTAAGCCCACCAGGTCCTCATAATCAGTTCCACACTCAGGCTCTGGTTCAATTACACGGGACACTAAACAAAATCAATAATGAGAAGGGGGAAGCGGTTTGGGGGAGGGCTGGTAGGGGCTGACAGGGGTTGGGTGTGTGACAAGAAGAATACCCAGTGTACGTGTATAAAAATGAGAAGGAGGAAAACTTACTCCTAAAAACGGTAACCCCAAACCAAGCAAACAGTGCAGGTATTTCAGTGAAGCTACTTTCTATCAACTCAAACGAGAGGACTCCTTACCTGCAATGCTGTGAACACTGTGCTGACATGGATGGCAAAATACAGCACACCAATAACGACACACACCACCAGGTCGGACTGTAAACGCTCACTCTGTGGGACAGAGGGCAATCATCAAACATTACATACTTCTTTAAGATAGGCTCGCATGCAATCCAGGCTGGCTCCAAGTTGTCAGTAGCTGAGAATGACCCTGAATGCCCAATCCTGCCTCTACCTCCCAAATGCCACCAGACTTCTCTTTAATACAATTAAAAAACAAACAAACAAACAAATAAACAAAAAACTCCTTTTGTTTGTTTCCCAATTGGAAAATCTTAAGAAATAATTTTGCACTGATACACTTCAGTATTTATAGGTATTTCTTATGTGAAATAATTATGTAGAATAAATCTTATTTTCTTTCTCAATTTTCTCATATTTTGGGGTTTCCTCAGAGTTTGGTACTATATGTTACCTAGTTTCGAATGCTATAAACATAAAATCTTGTAAGATTTTCCCCTCATTGGTCAGTACATTTTACTTTTTTCTTGACAAACAAGACTAGAGCTGATCTTCTGAGGCATCAATATTGCATGCACACATCCTATTTTTCCTAAGATTGGGTTCTTTCACTGGTTTTACAGGGCTGTGAATCCTTATTTAGACTTAGTGTTTTCAACTCTGGAGTCCATTTAGCGTTTGGAGCACTTATGTGGACTCTGCCAGTTGAGGGTCCCAGACAGAAATGAAAAATCTGAAATCAAAACTACTCTAAAATCCAAGCTTTCTTTTTTGAACAATGATTTGGGAACATTTCAGGTTTTGAATTTTTAGAAGCATATTCAACTCTATAGTAAAAAAAAAAAAAAAAAAAATAGGATCGCTTTGCTATCCCTGGCCATCTACTGATGAGTGGACATGTAAATTGCAGGTAACATTCCACTAAGCTTAACATGAACACAGAAACTAAAATCAGAAGAGAACCTGCTTCAATTTTATCCTGCAGTAAAGAATTTGTGAAGTCATGTCCACTGAAAGGAAATATTACGTCTAATTAATACCTAGTAAGTTCATCATTCAGACAAATAATCGAAAGTGAGGGGATCAGGGACATAGTTTTTAACAGCAGAGTGTTTGCAAGTATGAATCTGGGTTCAATCTGCAGCACAACAGAAGAAAACCAATCTAAAATAAAACAGAAAAAAGTGTGTTTTGCCCTACAAAACATCTATGAATCTCTAGAATTCACTTTTCAAGTGAATAAAGTAACATTATGAATCACTAAACTGAACTAAGTACTCTAATAAGTATATATTAGTAGACAGTTCTTTTCTTTGACCTAGACACTACATTTTTAAATGTTTCTATGTATTTATGTGTGTGTTTTGTCTATATGCATGTCTGTCTACAACATGCAATGCTTGCAGAAACCAGCTGTTACATTGCCTGGAACTGGAGTTATACGCAGTTGCAAGCTGCCATGAGGGTGGTGAGAATTGAACTCAGGTCCTCTGCAGAGGAACAAGTGCTCTTAACTGCTGAGCTACCTCTCCAGCCCCCAAACACACGTTTTATATTGTCCTTGAGAAATGAAGTACAAGGCACAGGTTATTGTTTTTGTCAAAAGGAATAATAATAAAATTTAACTTATGTCAAACAGTTTAAACAGTAGCCTGCAATTACCCATAGATACTAAGTCCCACAGTCCTCACGGACACCTAAACTACAGACGCGACTTCCATCCTATGGCTACACCAGTTACCATGGTGACTATTAGGTAACTGACAGGTAGGAGCGATGTGCACAGCAGACATTTGAACAAGGGTCTGTGTTGTGTCTGTGTGGAACAGTGCAATACTTCATGCTCCTACTCAGTGTGGTGTACAATTTAAAACTTATACATTATCTACTTGTGGAATTTTCCAGCTCATATTTTGGGCCTGGAGTTGACCACCAGTAAATGAAACCAGGGAAAATGAAATGAGGTTAAAGACTCATTTTGTATTCAACTTTCAGATCTTTGTCTCCCCTGAGAAGGGCAGGCATTTCTAGGATCAATGAAATGATTTAATTTCACTCAACATGAAACCTTTTAACATACTCTTCTACACTGAGATCAATTGTGAGGACAGGAGCTTTCTTATGCAGGCTAACTATCTCCTATCCAAAATGTTCAGGACCATGACTATGAAAGACTGTGATGTTTGCAGATTTGGGAATATTTCCATATATAGCATGACATACTTTGGGAAGATGAGCCACACATAAATAATAATAATAAAAACAACAACAATAATAATAATGTTGATTTTTTTTTTTCTGTGTGTCTAACAGTCAGATGGTAAGGAAAATAGCATTATCAGTGAGCCCATGATTTATCACATCAGACTAATGTGAGACATGTCAATGTTCACATAGTTTTAGACTCTGGTCTAGACTACTCTGGAATTTTAGGATGGAGGCTGCTTAACTAGTATGTTAACATCTGGACTGGAAACAATGAACAATATTTAATAGCACTGTATTCCTTCAGTTACTAAAGACTTTCCAATGTATTCGATATATGACACAATCATCTGCCATAAGTATTGCCATGGTTTAAAAAGCTATACTTACAACGGAATTGCTAAGCTTTTCCGGCAGTGGGTCTTTCACTTCAGACAGAGGGTCCTCTGGGTTTTTCTCTTCAGTTTTTGGAAAAATCTTGGATTGCATCAAAGAGCTTTATTTGAACAAAATAAGAGAAAGTATTTACTAGAAAATATTTATGGAACTCGAGAGCTAGTAATTTAAACATGCAAGGTTATTTGCAGTATAAAACCAAATAATCTAACTACATTTAATCACTGAGACATGTAAATTCTAAAAAAGTTTATTTTGACATAAATAAGCATACAGTGAAAACACTGCCATTAAAACTTGAAAAGAAAAACAAAACAAAAACAACCACTACCATGGCACTCAACAAGTGAGAGCACATTCTGCTCTTGTAGACAACCACAACTCAATTCCCAGCACTCACATCGGGCAGCTCTCAACTAGGCACTGGGAAAGGAGCTGTAGGGACTACAGAGATGCCACATACTGAAATGTTCAACAGTAATGACGGATCTCACTTACAAGAGTACAGATGGATCACTGCTTTGTCGGCTGAGATGATATGACACAGCCACTAACAAACCACAAAATATGGAGAAAAGCACTGGAATGTGCTGGCCATCCCATGAATCCTGAGGGAAAAAAAAATCAGAGAAAAAGATGCTTGCAACTTAGCATATAATACTCTTATATCAATATTTTAGAGACAGTAAATTCAAAGTTTAAGATGTTTTAGCAATATTAGTAACTGTACTTTATTCCAAATGAATTTGGATTTCTTTTTCATTTGATAAAGGGTCTCAGTGTAGCTCAGGTTGGTCTTAAATTTGCTATGTAGCTGTAAATAGCTTTGAACTCCTAATCCTGCCTGTCTCTCAAGAACACTACACCACATTAGTTATTGTTTTCTGGAGACCTGGGATCTGGATGCTAAATTTCTTTTGTCTTCTTCTCCCTTTTAATACCTCTTGGTATTAAAGTTTTATTCATATTATTTACATTTGTTGCTATCATTTCTCACATGTTAAGTAGTGTTCATTTTATAGTTGGTATTGAGTTTATTTTCCTCTTTACACTTAAATATAAATCAACTCTAGTTTTTAAAAAACAAAACTAGAGTACAATCCATCTTATATCCACATGTTTCATAGCTATATTCTACATTTCCTTAATTCTTTCCAAACTTTAACTGTTTCTAGCCCTCTTTTCTTTTTTCATACAGTCCCCCAAATATACTGATGGGACCTAGCTTCAGTGAAGCATACACTCTTTGACACTGGGGCCCAGAAGCTCAGCATAGTTTTTAGCCTGCATCACTCGAGACTCTGAATGTTGGTTGACTTGGAAACTGTAGCTGACCTACGAGTTCCTCACAGACAAGAAATGGCTTTTAGCACCATTCTTATACAGTAGGCACTTTGTAAAAAAAAAAAAAAAAAAAAAAAAAAAAATACAGACAAAATGAAGCAGAAAGGGAGTCACTTCTCACAGCAATTTGAACTGTACTATTTTCTCATCATCTTGCTTTAATTAAAAACAAACATCCTGAGATATGTGAGGGGTTATAAACTACTGTTAAAATTTCCAAAAGGGGCTCATGGGCTCAATGACATCTCCATAAATCAAGCCAACAGTGTGCCTTGGTGCTGTGTCTCTGGCGTGTACCTTCAACTGTAGCCCTTGGACTCAGTTTTGTTGTTTTGCTTTGCTTTGCATCTGGCCTTGAGCAAACATCAGGCCTAGACAAACACTCTCCCACTAAGCTATACCCCAACAAAAACATGTTCTTATAAATGTAAACAAATCTTGACGAGAGGTAGTAGCTACATATATTCTTAACCAGAATAGACATTTAACTGCATATTCTGCAATACTATGCTTGACTCTCTTCCAGGTGAATCTCATTTTAATAAACTTTTAAATAGTAACCTAGAATTATTGTATAGAAAAGAATTTTCCTTTAATAATGACTGATTGTCAAAGTGCTTTAAAATTCAGAGTAAGGCAGAGTAAGAGTATAGATCAACATTAGAAGGCAGGGAAATTAGTGATAAAGTATCTCAAGCAGGGCAGCATGGAATCAGCAGTCAGTTTTAAGCATTCAAGCAGAGATATGACACAGACACAGAACACATACAGTCTGCTGTTTACCTTTAAAGCTCCATAGCACAGCCCGTACAGCAAGGCGACCGCCACGATGCTGCAGAGGAAACTGTACAGCGCTGCGAGCAGGCTGGTGGTGGCTAGACAGTGACAGAGGAAGGAAATCAAGATTAAAACACCTACCGTAAACAACTCAAATGCACAAAAACCATACCAAGTAGCACAATACTTATCTACTCATGTGACTTTTAAAAACAAGCTACTTCATCTTTTTCGTAAGATTTGACAAAGTCTTCTACTTTGTTGAGACAGAGTCTCTCTTAGCTCAGGCTGGCTTGCAACTCTCAGCAATCCTCCTGCCTTACCCTCCCAAGTGCTCAAATCCTAGGTATCACCTATCATTTCCTGCTTGCTATCTTTAGTCCTTGATAAAACACATTTACCTCAGAGTCTCAGAAGAAACATTTATACCTCTAATAGGCTGTGGGGCTGGAGAGTTGGTTCAGTTTTAAGAGCAGGTGAGGCTCATTTAAAATTTGGTTCCTCACAGCCACATCGGACAGCTCAAAACCACCTCTAACTCCAGCTCCAGGGGTCTGGAGCCTCTGGCCTCCACAGACACCCCTCCCCCATTAAAAATATGAAAAACCCTTTTTTTGAAAAGTGCATCTTACATTAATAAGATGTATTAAAAACAAAGCTTGCAAAGGTCTGAAATAAACAGGAGGCTTGCTTTACTCCAGGCAGTAAGTCTGTATTCCAGTTTGCTAATCAATTCACACAAAAATATATGTATTATCTGACTACTAAAAATGTCAACAAGCAGCTGACCCAATAGGATTACTTGGAATAAGAAGCAGGCATAGTTAACAGAGTTACCTGTTATTAAAAATATAAATGAGAGTTCCTAAATGTAATTTTACATAGTGATCTAAGGAAAATCCATAGGGAATATTTGTTATTATAAACCTAACACTCTGCACTTTGTAACTTACAATGACAAAGTCCAATACTCTAAGTCACCTACACAGAGACCTCTCCATGTACTTCAGCACAAAATCAACAGCGGGTCCCTACTCATTAAGCTGAACTGAGCAAAGAAACCAGCTGTTTTAAGTTACACACATTCAAACATAAGAAAGCATGCTAGTATAATCTACAACAACACAGAAAAGTTTTATTTTCTATTTACAATTTAAGTCGATCAGCTGGAGAGATGGCTCTGAGAGTAAGAGTGTTCGTTGTGCAAGCATGAGGACCTGAGTTCAAATCTCCAACACCCATATAAAAAGCTGGGCATTCTACCACTGTGTGTGGAGTATGAACAGATGGAATCCACATCCTGAGAGCCCCTTGGCCAGTCAGCTTAGCTCAAAGTGCAAACTTCTGGCTGGGTTAGAGACCGGGAGAGGGAGGCACTGGCGTCCTCCTGCAGCCTCAGTGTGCAGGCATGCACACAGGTGCACCCACCTACACTCACATGCACACATCACACACTCGACCCGATGCACATCAAATTGACAATTAAGCCACACCATCCACATTTTATCAACAGATGATTTCAGTGCATGTTTGTAGAAGGCAAATGAGGATCACAAATGTGAAGTGTGAAGAACTATAAATATAAGGTTAATGATGTTCCTTTTTAATATTTCCTGTGTGCATACTCTTTTTCCCACAAAATGTTAGATGATGAAGGACATGCTCTCTCAACTACAGTAGCATTGCTGTCAAGTTCAATCTTTCAGATGAATAGTGGATTTTTTCAGAAGATAAAATACATGCATGGCAAGGACATTGTTTTTCTAATTTATTAATTAATATATACATATTCTACTCTAAAAACAGAGATAATTCTTAAAAGTTGATCTAATAAAATGCTTCTAGATTCTGGCCATGGCTCTGAACACAAGTACATGGACATGCCAAATGCACACCCCAGTACAAAAATCCAAGTACAATCACACCTCAACCTGCTCAGCACAGATGATGTTATAAACATCTGATGATGAGTACAGATCCCAGGTAAAATCTCCATGGTAGCCCCTCCTTTCCAGCAGCTTTACTTTCCATAGGCTCCATTACCTGTGGGCATCTATGATCCAAACACAGTCCATAGAAAACCCCAGGTAAAAGAAGAGAGAGGCCACATCCCATAACTTTTACTTGGTTGTAGTATGTGAGGGTGCAAGGGCACACACCTGCATGTACAAATGCATACTGAGGCCAGAAGAGGGTGCAGGTGTCATCCTTGTTATATGTTGAGTGTGCAGGTGCACACACCTATGTGTACAAATGCATACTGAGGCCAGAAGAGGGTGCAGGTGTCATCCTTTTGTTATATGTTGAGTGTGCAGGTGCACACACCTGCATGTACAAATGCATGCTGATCAGAGAAGAAAGCAGGTATCATCCTTTGCATCACTGCCTAAAGACTGAACAAAAAGCTCACACTTTCATCCAGGCTGCCTGGATAAACTGCATAATTGTCGTACTTCATTATTAGATATTGCTGCTTATTTCCTGTGCCTAATGTATATACTAATCTCTATCATAGGTATGCAAGCAAGCACAATACAGGAAAAATAGTCCATGTAGGTTCCTACTATTTGTAGTACCTACAGGTATAGCCACAGTACAGCTTGGAACTTATCATCTATGGATAGGGATGGGTACTATTCTACAACTTTTGTTCTTCAATAATGAAATAGGAACCTTTTATTTGCTTATCTCAATTCTAAAGTGAAAAATGGAGAAATATTTTAATGTTCAGTTTATTATTTCATAACCCATATTATAGCAACTGTAATTTACTCACCATTCCCACCAAAGATGTGGATGTCCAATTGTTCACAAAGGTACATTACAAACGTGTTCACCTGAGGCAGGAGACCAATGAAAAATACTATTGGGAAACAGAGTGTAAACACTATGGAAGGAAAGAAAAGTTTATTAAAAAACACTGCATCCATTTTCTTGTTCAGTTAAAGCCCATACTCAATGAAATCAAATTTAACATTTAGCATTTCCTACTGTATGACTTTTAAAATGTATTATCTAAAATTACTGTCATACAGGGCTGATTGGATATTACATTCTTCCACCTATGAAAAAATCATCATAAGGGGCTGGGATATAGCACTTGCCTGGTAAGCATGAGGCCCTACATTTAAGTTCCAGCACAGAGAAAAAATAATTTCAACCATTTTCTTTTAAAACATAACATGAACTTAAAATGTATAATAATAATAATAACAATAACAACTTTACCTTATATCCTCATCAAGAACAGAATTACTATATTTATTCACCATTAATTTTTTCATTCTTAGTAGCTCTACAGCTGTTTCTCAGTAAACTGTTGGTGAACAAACTAATGTTAATATCAGAGATACCTTCAAGATGACTCACCTATAACCAAATCCCTGGCCGATAGAAGCACCAGTGGGTTGGTGAAAGTTATTCCATATAATTTGAACTTGCTTGTAGTTAGATTTCTACTGCCATAATCCAAGAGCCAAATAAGACCACAACATAAACAGAAGTAAACTGGCCTACTGTAGGCAATGATACGATTATGACCCTGTAAACAATAAATTTTTTTGCTGTCAGTTTAGTTCATTTTGCAAGGCAAAACTAACTCCTGAGGTCACTATTAGCTTATGTTCTAATGGTTTGAACCATTTCTATATGAAGAGCAGGTTTCTGATGGCTGCAGAAAAATGTCAAGGACAAATATAGGAAGGGGGAGGAATAGAATGAACCCTGTGATACCATCAGAAATCAGAGTTATCAGTATGAACCCATTGTTTTTAATAGGCATGTAACTAGATCCAGAAGTACACACACACACACACACACACACACACACACACACACACACACACACACACACACACACACACACAAAGACGGAGAAAGGGCTCAGGTACCGCTCAGTGGTGGTGCAATGACTGTCTCACATGCACAAAGTCCTGAGTTCGTTATCAACACCACAAACGACCAGTTAAGACAAAAGAAAAAAAAAATATTCCTTTTAGTAAGAAATAAACTAACAGACAATAAAGGAATTGTAAGATCAATATCTGGCTACTCAGACAATATCGGAATCAAACAAGAAACCAGAAGATATAAAACACATTAGTAGAAGTCTGTGAAACACTAAGATATGCATACAGACTCAAAAGTACTTCCCATAAGAGATTTAGAAGTACAAGAGTGAAAATGATGAATTGTAGTAGAGTAGAAGTTCTGAACAGAGAGGCTGTTTTCTTCCTAGAGGACATTTGGCAATTGCAGACCTATTCTTACAGGCAACAGTCTACTTGGGAGAAGTCAGAGAGGTTCCTACAATGTACACGGATGGCATCTCTGGCCTCTATGAAAACCTTGTCCAGCTCAAACATTAACACTGCAGATGTGAGGAAATCTCAAGCAACATCCTCATCAAAGTTCATACCACCATCAGAGGGGTAAATCAGTACCAAAGCATCCTTGCATGATGGATGCACTGAGGACATACATTCCCATCCCCAAATGCTCTAACCTCTAAGGAAAGGGGAAGAGAGAACAGAGCGAGAAAGGAAGGGGCTGAGCCACACACAAGGATTTAACCCAGGAGTCTGGGGGACAGGCATCAGCTTTTCTATTATTCCCCTTGACACTGTTCTGCAAGTCAGAATTCAGCTGCACAGTAATGGTCCACATATCAATACACTTCAAAAGTGTTCTTACAGATGACAAACATCATCAATCAAAAGGAAACCATTTCCCCGCTTGATTTACTTTCTGTTCTGGTTGCATTAACTACTTCAATATAAGGACAAAATAATTATATTAAACACTATTCTTGGAGCTTATTTTTTAAACTAGTTCACTCATTCACTCATTCATTTTTAAAAAAAAACAATACAAATTTTCACTCTTTGGCCCATACTGGCCTAGAACTTATGTAACTCTGGTTGCTGTGAGCTCCCTATAACCTTCCTTCTTTAATCTGCTAAGTTCTACAATAAAAGGTATGCGCTCCCAATCCCAGTTTTGCACTACTGTACAGAGGTCACTCTTGGGTCCCTCTAGTAAACAAATGACTTGTTAGAGCCAGAACCAGATCAGCAGACACAGGGTACTCAACACAAGTCTTAAATAGCAGTTGAATGCAGTACACCATTTTATTCTTGCTCTTAATTGTTCACCTACAATTAAGTTTTCCTACTTCAAAATTCTATTTTCAATACACATTCACTATTTATTTTCAAATTATAGTAAATGCAAACAATCAAGCTTATATGGATTACGTCTGCCTAAGTGACATTCTCTTAGGGCAAGCTGTCAGAAAAATGAGTTATTATGCTCATGTCAACCAGGATCCAGAGCCCTTCCATGCTCATAAACCAACTACACAGCGTGTAGCTGACGAAACAACAGGCACAAATGTAACTCAACCAGGTACACACAGGGGAAACTACAAGCTGTGGTTAGGGGCAAGGAGCTGTAACTTACAGTCCTTCCAGGAGACTTACATGTCTGGGAGAAGAAGAATCTGGTTGGACACTCTAAAAATGAAGCAGAAAGATACATTATTTCACGCAAGTCTTAGGAATTTCACGAACAACTGAACACAAAACAAAACAAACAATCAAAAACCCGAGAGTTTATTTCCATGTTTTATTAAGTCACATAATGCCGGGCTTCATTATGAGATTTTCAATGCACATATGCACATGCTTAGTAACATCTGTCCTTACTTCCATCCACTCTCCATCTCACCCGTACCCCTCCCCTCCACGGTACAGCCCTTTCGACTTTCATAGCTAATCAATACCCAGTTCTCTGTGTGTGTGTCTTTGGTACCTAACTATGTATGTATCCAACTCTATAAATGTGTGTGTATCTAACTATACATATGTGTATATACAGATATTTAAATCTTTGTTCTGCATTTGAAAGAAAATATCTGTAATATCTGTTTTTTCTGGATTTGGTCTACTTCACTTAACATGATGCTCTCCAGTTATATCATTTTATTTTATTTTATTTTATTTTGAGATAGGTCTCTCTATATACCTCTGGCTGTCCCAGAACTCACTATGTAGATCAAGCTGGCCTCAAACTCAAAGAGATCTGCCTGCCTTCACTATCAATTCATTCCTTAAAGATGGGTAATAATCGTGTGTGCGCGTGTTATCTCATTTGTTTAAACTACTTCCTTTTTTTTTTTGATATTATACATTTCACCCTTCCCTTTCCTCTCTCCAACTCCTCCTATATACCCTCTTACATATTCATGGCCTTTTAAGAGCTTTTATTGCATACACATATGTATATACACACATACTTCTAAGTATAACCTGCTCAGTCTGTATGTTACTTGTGTGTATGTTTTCAGGACTGACTATTTGGTACTGAATAATCAATTAAGGGGCTCTTCCCTGGGGAACAATATTTCTCCCACTTCCAGCATTCCTACAGTTCTTTTTGTCACAAGCAACTTTTAAGATACTCTTAAGTGCTTTACGGAAATGTCTTGCAACCAAGAAATCATGAAAATTAATTCCAAACACGAAGCACCAGAGCCGGGAACTGACAGTAAACACAGCACACACCGTACCTCATTTTTACCTATTTTGGCCAATTAACTTGCAACTACCCAGCTAAATGGTCTGAGACAGTGTACAGTAGACAGGCCCACCTTTCAGCTTAGCTCTTTAATATGGGCAAGGATAGCTGCCATATCTTGCAGGCCACTCAGGAGACACATAGAACTTGAGTTAGCATCTAAGATCAGTTCCACTCACAGATTCTGATTTACTAAATAGTGATAATTGAATTTATTATCTGCATTTGCACAGCAAAATCATCAAGGGCAATCCTCCTGTAGCCTGTGAAAATGTCCTCATGTAATTCCTTCTCAACCAGAACTTGCCCCCATCCTCATTCATTTCCAGTGGCAAACTACACACCTTTCTCAGGGCAGTCCATCACCAGCCGCAATTCCACACCACACCAAGCATGCAGAGTCTGACTTCTGGCCCTTCTCTGGATATGAGCCTGGATAATCTTTCAACCTTCTGAAACTCTGATTCCTGCCTTCCCTTTCCTGTTTATGACAGCACTCCTACTCTAATCAGCTAGTTAAACAACAATACTCTGTTGCCTCTCTCCTTTCCTAACCACACTGACCTGAATATAGTGGGCAAAACTAACAAACAAGATATACTAGAGTCAGAGAATGAGTTTTTATGGCTTAAGACAACAAAGGAATAGATAAGGTGGCTGAGGAAAATACAAGAATAAGAAATAGCAATTTTAACATATATACCAAATTTAATCAAAGAGAGTTAGCTACTTGTTATTGAGGGAGGAAGAAAAGAACTTAAAAAGCCTAACACTGTAAAAACAAAGAAAACAATAGACCAGTAGTGATAAAATGCTCTTTCCAAATCTTGCCTGTCAGTTAGACATACAGGACTAAAGCTTACCAAAGAGGCAACACTTTCACATCTGAATCTGGACATGATGTGTATCATGGAGTGATGACTAAAGCAATAAAAGTTGCTTTGCTGGCAATTATATAAACCAAGAGGAGGGCACACAAGGCCCAAGAATTCTCACCCAGTCAGCAACACACAAAAAATAAAGAAGCAACAATAAGTAAGTCATCTGAGGATCAAGAGCCACCCAGCTGTGCAAGGTCACAGGGCAGCGGAGAGGAGGACATGGAAATGGAGCCAGTATTAACAGATGTTAAATGTCAGAGAATGCTCTGGCATTACAGAAAGAACAATAACCTAGATAGTTTACTTAGATGTTAGCTCTAAATGGACAGAAATATCAAGAGCACTGAAGCAGCTGTACCAGCAGCCTTGGGAGGGTTCTGTACACCAGCACATCTAAGGGTAACAACCTATGCAGAATAAGACGTGCTGATTAAAAAGGAGGCACTCTGGTAACAGCCTGCACTGGTTTTAGGCAGAAGGCAAAATTTTGGCCAGACATCAGCTGATGTGCTGAAGTCTCCCATTTTCTTAAATGATTTACAAGACAACACAGTGGCTTCTGAGTCACTACTCAGTCAGTAATAAAGGGACGTCAATATTTTCTTTTTGATGTCCCATAAAAATAAAAAATATTTCTAGTTTTTGACACTGGTACCTACCAATGACAATTTTAATAAGTCTCACCTATAGAACAGAAGGCTCAAAGGTGAGAAAAGAAAGGTTAGTGCTGGTAAGTTAAACAGAAATAAATCTCAAAGATGCAAATTCTTATTTTAACAAATCTTTTCTTTTAATACAAAGAATTTGTTTTTAGTAAATTAAATTTATACACAATTACTTTTTTAAGTTTACACCCTGCTTTGGTCCCTACATAATCCAATGTAAACCCCCATAGAAAATAAACCTAAAAGTTATATTTGTGGTAAGCTGGTGAATGGCTTTAGACAAAGCATGGAAGGCAGAGACACTGGTACCTTGAGCAGTGAGTACTGGCAGCTAGCTATCACCAGGCAGAACTGGAACACCCAGATGTCTCTGAAGAAGCCTTGGATGAGAAGAATGGATCCCAAAAAAGCCACAAGAATAGCCAGGACGACAGCTAATATATTCTCCAGGATCTCACGGTTTCTGTAGATGGGAAAATTAACACAGAGGTCTACCATGAGTCTGAGATTATCATCAGACTGAAAATAGGGAAGACATCATGATGAAGCCTGCTTTGAAGAACATTGCATGTCACACAGAAGAACAAACTACTGTCTGTGGACAGCTGTCCTGTGACACCGCAGCAGCACAGTGTCCTCTGACATGGCTCTCCGGTGAAGACACAATAACATCTTCTCTGTGAAATAAGCTGTAAAATAACTAACTAATCTAAACAGCAAATAAAGCTGACATAAAGTTTAAAATGCAAAAATTTCAAAAAAGTTTCTAGGAATTGGGAAACAGGTTATTTCATAAGATAAAGCTTACAACCAAATCTGACAGCAAGTGGTTTTGTTTCTCCATCTCTTATCTTCATCTGAAATAATCCACTAACTCACTTACTAGAACTACTTTAACACAGTTTCTTACACGTGTTAAGAATGAAGTATAACTAAGACCACCAATGCCACCTCTATCAAAGCTGCTGAGGCAATTCTATGCCCGGCAAACTCACATTGTAAAAGAGGCAACATGATGCCCAAGATACCACATACAGAAACAAAGAAGATTTTCATCTGTACCAAAGGCTAAAGATCTACCCAATTCATTTCTTGGGAAGTTTTATTCATAAACATCTTACATTTATAGAATATTAAGTGACATATGCAAAGCATGTCTACTATATGTACCAAACATGACAAAACTGTGTAAGTCTTCTTACTAAAAAAGATAAAGACTGAAAAACACATTACACCAAATTATTATTCATAATGGCTTCGTGGATTGATTATGGTATGTGTCTCTATTTTCAAAACTTTCCACATACTTAACTCTTCTGTGGGTAAAGAATTTATAATCACAAATTTTTTAAAAGCTCACTTTTATTAACTCAATACTACATTTGCAGCCACTAGCCATCCCCCATTCAAGAGACAACAGTGTCTTAGTGTCAAGTCCATTCCACTGGTTTCTGCTTGATGACCTTTTGAGGTGGTAGGGGTGTTGGTAAGAAAACCTGGGCCTTTTTGTGTGTTAAGCACGTGCTGTGTCACCAAGATACATGGTCAGCCCCTATAAAGTTTGAAGCTCTGTTTTAGGGACAGAAACATTTAGGACTGTTATGTTTTACAGGTAAAACTGAGCCTTTATCATTGGCAATATCCTCTTGTAGTTTGAATGTAACTGGCCCCCATACTGGAGTGGGTATGGCCTTGTGGGAGAAAGTGTGTCACCATGGGGGCAGGCTTTGAGGTTTCCTATGCACAAGATACTGCCCAGTGCCTGAGTCTACTTCTTGTTGCTTTTGGATTAAGATGTAGAAGTAGCCAGCACTATGTCTGCCTGCACACTGCCATGTTCCCTGCCATGATGATAAGGTCTGAACCTCTGAACTGTCAGTAAGCCACCTCAATCAAATGTTTCTTAAGAGTTACCATGGTCATACAGTTTCTTCACAGCAACAGAAATCCTCTGCTCTTAAATCCACTATTAAGAGTGGCCAGTGCTCTCAACCTCTGAGCCATCTCTTCAGCCCCTGGCTCCATGGGCTTTTAAGGGGTATTTTTAAAGATATTTAAATTACTGTATGTTGACAGTTCTTTTCCTTTCAATAGTGCTTGAGCTGTTCCCACTGTCTTCTTACACGTGTAACTTTCAGGCAAACAGATGCGTTCTTCTGTATGGAGTATTCTTTTGATATTTTTCTTGTGGTTTTAAAGACTTTAATCACTGGAATTGAGTGAGTATGTCCTTTGGGTAGGTTTTTCATGCTGCTTTTGCTTAGGGTGCATTGGGCTTCTTGATAGTTTTCATATAATATGCAGTGTCTACCATTATTTCTTCAAGCCTTGTCTCTTCTTGAAGCTGTCCCACAACACATTCATCTTGGTTTCATGCTCCTGTCATGGCTTCACTCTAGATGGTTGTCCATCTAGATGGCTCTCCTCATGTGCCTATGACTTTAGTGATCTTTTTTTTTTCAACCAAGTTTTTAACTACCAGCAATCCTACCTAGTACATTTTTTAAAAGCAACATTGTAGTATTCAACTCAGTAATTATTTTCTCTTTCATGTTTCTACTTAATTTTTCAAATAAACAGAACATGGTTGTAATTATTTTGAAAATCTGTATCTGCTAACAGTTAACATCCCTACCAGTTATAGGTGGGTCTTGATTTATTCTTTTTCCCATGAGTCATGCATAGCTCTCACTCTGCATAGCTGGTGACCTCTGAGTAGATGATACCAGGTATCAGTCACTATTTGTTGTGGAGGTACGTATTTGTGGATTTCTACAAGTCTTGGATATCTGCTAGGCTACTTTGATCCCTTTAGGTCTTGTTTTTATGACTTTTTTGGTAGGTCTGAAGTACAGCACAGGAGGTTAGTGTGGCCATATATTTAAATCAAGGTCTTCTTAAGCAGATAGCTCTTCAGATGCATGAGCTAACCATGGACTACTGAGCTTAAGGAAGCCTGCTACGTGCCTCCCATGTCCCCACCGTTCCCTCAACAGCTCGTTCCTGTGGTATTTTATAATATGGACTTCAAGACCCTCAGTGTCGTCTCTAACTCAAGACATGTACTGAACTCTATGTTCTCCCTTCCTGTGTCACAAAGCTAGGAACACTTAACGCACAGCGTGGTGGTGACTAGGGTACACACCACCGACCTCGCGCTTTTCAGGCTCACTGCCATCTACTGGCTCATCTCCAAGGGCTTTGTCTGTCTCTGTTTCACAGGGAAGGTAAATCCAGTACTGTTCCTACTGGCTGACTAGAACCAGCTACTGGTCACCAAGTCTGTAATAAATGAATGTGTTTGCCACTAGAACAGGGTGCTACACAACAGGGCAGGAGGGTTCCTCTTCCAACTTTATTATATATAACCTTAAGATCATAAAATATTTCATGTGCTCTTTTAACAATCAACGGTATGGCTCACACTAGTAATAAAACATATCCTTAAGTAAACATCTTAGAGTTACAGGGGAAAAAAAAAAACTTGTAATGGCTTAAGAGAGTTAGTATTTAAAAGCTCTGTTACTTTAAGTTTGATCTCAAGAGGATGAAAATAGAAAGCATTTTCCAACATGATATCCAGGTAATTATGAAGATAGTATTTTTAAACTGAAATTTTCCTATTTTTAATACCATGCTATGGTCTTACCTATCAAACAGCGCCAAGAGTGTGAGTCTGTCAAAGTTAATGCCAATCCACAGCTGGGGTAGGATCCAAAAGCGGTAATAGTGTTTAACTTTTTGGGCAGCTTCTTCTGTGGGACCATAAGTGGCTGCCAAGTCAGGGCTTAGATCAATGTCCTGTTGCTCCAACAGATCTGTGTCAATGGTCAATAGTCTGTTCAAGCGAATCTGTGGGCGAGAAAGCTAGAAACGTGCCAGCACTGAAAGGGTTAAATATTCTTGATCTAATCAGGACTCAGTTTGTAAATTACTTAAAGCCTCTAATTGTTTATTCTAGTTCACTCATTATAAAAACTCCATAACACTTGGAATCTACCAAAGGTGACAACAGGAAGTAAATAAAACACAGCAAATGTGATCACCAGACCTTTAGGACAGGTGTCTGAAAGGTCTGGCGAGGACACTGAAAAGCATTGCTGCAGGTCGCTGGGGGCCTCCCTCCCCTGACATATTTAAACCCTATTCTCGAGAAGCTATGAACTGCACTTCATTTCTCCCTCCAGCCCCATTACTGATTTACTGACTTTAAGTCTTCTGTGTTAGCAGGCTCCTCACCTAGACCGACAGAGCAAAGCACTAACTTGATTTAATTTTAGGCCTCCTATTCACCAGTCCTACAGTTTGCCCTTCCTCTGAAAACACTGCATGTTTACCAAACTTGGCACAGCACAGGGCAGGACTTTGCTGTCTCTAGAGTCCTATGTGACTTAAGAGTGGAAAACAACACTATGATCATCTTTCCACTCCTGCCTCTAGCAGGCAAAGTCTTTACTATTCAAGCACAAATGGAACAGACCAGAAAAACCACTGGTTTTGATTATTAAATACTGGTTGATACATCTCCAGACACTTTCTTATCATCTAGTCTAGGGTGTCTCACTTCTGGCATGACAGATGTTTTTGGCTAGAAATCTTCACTATGGGTGGCTGTGCCAACACTACACAATGTCTCTTAGCATCCCCGGCCCCTTTCTATAGTTTACAATGACATTCCTCCAGGTGTGTCAGTCAAATGTGTTCAGATATAGCTAAATACCCACTGGCTGCAAACCACTGCTCTGTGCCACCTCATAGCACCAGCCTTAAAGCCCTTCTCACAACTCATCTCCAAGCAGTCATTAGACAGATACCTCAGAAGATCCATCCACTTCACTAATAAGGTTTTCATCCCTTTTATTTTCTATGCATATTAACAGCAAAAGCTCTGTTTTAAAATCCCCATTTTTCCCATACAATAACTTTCATATAATGTTACTCGGTTTTCCACCATCACATATGCTAGTCAATAAGTGAGTTAGTTAGTCAACAGATGGTTAAAAAACAGTACCAAATCATATTATTCAAAGTGAAATTGCTGGACACAGTAGATGGCTCTGCAGGTTAAGGCACTTGCTGCCAAGCCGGAAGAATCAAGTTTAATCTCCAGGACCCAGTCCCTTAAGTTGTGCTCTGACCTCCATGTGTGCGTATGTTCTCATGCACACACAAAATACACAAATGTAAAGAAAAAAATATGGTACAACCAGATTATACAATGATACGTGGGCCTTTTCAGACCTGCAAAATATAAACCAGGGCAACTTCTGGCTCACACATACAGACGGCTAACTAAAGTCTGTGAGGGTGTAAGAGCCATGGCGACAAGACAAAGGGGATTTTGCCATAGTTTCCAACAAAAGTGATAGTTGGGGATTTCATTAATTTGAGTGATTTTTTTTAATGGATAGCTGTATATAATCTTCAGATTGAATCTAAACATGTACCACATTATTAAAAATGAAAACACTTACCACATCATGTGGATAAAATCGAACTGAGGTAGAACTTGATACATGAGAATCCGTGTCACTAAAATAAAATGGAAAAGACTTTAAGGGAGTAAATGGCTTGTTGGAGTTTTTTGTTTGTTTTTTTATCAGTTAACAATCAGGTAATACTTTCACTGTCTTCACTCTTCCATGTAAATACCAAAATACACATCGTCATTTTCTTAAGTTATGACCCAGAGCACTGTGTCCGCACTCAAGTTCAGACTGCCTCTCCAGCTGACTGAAATCCTCAAACCTCACTCCTCATCAGTAACATCAAATAACAGTGCCTCTATCACAGGGGTCTTACCGTTTGTTTAAATGAGATAATCCATGGAAAGCAATTAAACTGACTGGAATAGTACAGACAAAATAAACTTAATCTATAATATAAAAGTGCCTGGCATGTGCCTGGCAGTCGAGTCTGCATGTCAAGCCTTGAGGCTACAGCACATTTCCAGCATTCGGGACACACTTCTGCCGAATTACTGGGTGGTAACCAGGCTTCCACTGGTCCCCAACCCCACACCTCCACTGTTGCAGAATTAACTAACCTTCTACTTAGTAATTTCTGTCAGGGTGGATTTACGAAATAAGAATTAGCTGCTAAACTGAGTGACTGAATTTTAAAAAGCACATGAAAAATAAATGAATCACCCAAAGCTACACAATTGACACATATGGCCTATTATTCCGTGGAAACCCTAAAGTAAGAAATAAATGGCCATTAGGAAAAAAAAAATCAATGCACTCTACACTCTATACTATAAAAGGTTATATGATTCAAGTATCTAATGTGTTTGTATTCTCCTAACATTTTTGTTACCTTGCAAATTCCTTCCTGAAAGGAAATAAATACTGAAAATTATTTAATGGAAGAAAACTAACTTTTGAGTCTGAACCTCACTGCAGCTATTTTTTTCTGATAAACTTCTTATATTGTGCTATACAGGGAGGACATCAGACATCTGGTTACAATTTGAGCTGGACAGACTATCCCATAAGATATAATGAAAATTTTTACTTAATTTTTAAGTACAGAATAACTTATATTTTAAATATAGTGCTTTCCCCCTCCACAATAAAACGCTAAAAAAAAAAAAAAAAAAAAAAAAAAAAAACCCTTAATTCTATGGGAACAAAAAAATTATGATAAGCCTCAAACTCAATATAAACATTTTCAAAGTAATTTGTATTTCACATGGTGACTTACAGTAACAATTCACTGTGTATCTGAAAATGAGTGAGAGTAGACTGTAAATGTTTTTAAAATAAGATAACCCATATAAACAGGGTAGGTGTAGCCATTCCACAATGTATACAATATTCCAAAACATCATGGTGTAGACCGGCAGTGTGTACAGTGTATCTGTCCATTTGAAAAAATATGCTTTAAAGCAAGCTTCTATACCTCAACAGTTAACTCTTTGAACATCCAAGTCACACACTCCTGATGTCTCCACACCTACCAGATATTGGATGCTCTTCTTGCTGCTGGTTCGAAATTCACAAGTGACATGTCACAGCCACCAGTCTCATACAGCGTAGATGAGAACTTACCTAGCAAATGAACAAGTTTTGAAAAGAGTAATTAGGATAGCCAGAAGTTTTCCTTTATGATATGCTAAATTTCCTAACTTCTTATAAAAATTGTAGAACCCATTTTAAAACCATAATCTTCATGCGGTTCAGAATGATGGGTGATAAAATAGCAGCATATATAATCAAGTATTAACAGGAAGAGACTTGAGTCAGCTTTCTTTTTCCCTCCCAAATGATCAAGTTGATGAGTGAGTGACTTGATATTCACCAGCTACCTGGCCTGAATGGTACTGTGCAAAGCTGCTCAAAGTTTGAGGCAGTTCAAACGTCACGAGAACAAAATGGTTATTTTTATTTTGTTTAGAAGAAATGAAAAGTCAAAAGTGGCTCAAAGGTAGTTAAATAATGTTGGTACTAATTAAAATATTTAATAAACATTATTAGTTATACAATGTTTCCAAAAGAGCATTTAGGAATGATAACTCTTCAAACCAAATAGCTCTATAGAATCTAAAAATTAAACTGACTAAAATGTACACAGATTAAAAACCTAAGAATTAAAGCCTAGTCCTAGGGAGCTGCACTCAATCCCACCCCTTTTCCCAAGAAGCCCCTGCTGCAATGCCCTACACCTCCAACCATGGCCCTGTCTACAATAGTCTGCTTTTCCATCTTTGAAAAGAATAAGGAAAAATAAATAAATAAAATGAAAAAAAAAAAAAAACCAAGAAAATAATAGCACAAAAGCTCAGTTGTCTCAAAACAAACTCCACTATATACAATAGTTTTAAATAATGGGATTTTAAAGCTGAGACACTGCTTGGAACATGGTGTCGTGTTTCAAAGACCTTGAGACCATGGAGGTGTAACTATGACAGAGAAGGTGTGTAAGTAAATCATGTAAGTAAGTGTAAACTGCTGAGAAACCAGCGAAATAAGGCAAATTCTTAAGCAGCTCCATGGTTTGGTCTAGGCTTTGAGAATTTACAGGGTTTGTTTTAGAAGCTGCAATTACTGAGATTCCACTGTCTGGTCCCCAGGCTGCCTTGAACTCCCTATCTACTCAAGGATGACCAGGAACTTCTGAATTTCTCTATCTCTAGAGTGGTGGGACTACAACGGAGCACATTTATACCCAGTTCATGAAGTGCTGGGGATGCAATCCAGGAATTCATGCACACTAGACAAGCAGTGGACCAACATCCTAGTCTTAAATATGAGCAACCTTTAAAATTTTTAATTAAATTTGGTCTTTCACAATTTCATATATACATATAAATATTATATAGTGAGTTCTGGTTTCTGTCACCCAATATCAAGACTCTTAAAGGGAGTATTTCAACTAAATGCCAGGGTGAAAGGTCAGAGTTTTCTATGTCCAAATGAAAATACTAAATTACAAGGACTTTTAAGTAACAAAAGACCTCCTAACGCACTGATATTATAATTAAAGACTTACAAAACATTTTACTCTAGTGGATAATAAATGCTTGATTGCATTCTATTGGTTACTAGATAATGTGAAGTTTACTATTGCATTGTCTGTAGAATAATATACTACGGAAAGTCATGGAAACAATTAAGTGAAATACGCCTTTCAACAGAGACAGAGTGAGATGACTCCTCAAATGCACAATGAAGGGGAAATATGGTGCGAGACAAGTTCCAATACTTTATTATATAAAAATAAAAGGAGAAAAAATACTTAGTCCACTCAGTATAGTTTTACTTTTAAAGGCAAACTACAAATATATGGACTGCCCAAGTCTGTTTTCTCTCCCCTTTCAGTGAGTCCCAAGTAATTTAAAAACCACATTAGTGGCCAAAAATGAGATGGTAAATCTGTCAACCCGCTTACTTCTCAGAATTCACTGAAAATTTTCCTCAAGTATGGTAGAGTGGGTTGCAGAAATCGCTAATGAAAAAAGGTAAATGTGACTGTGTAATGTTCAACAAGAGAGGAATGCATACAATTTGTACATATTTCAGAAATCAGTTAATTTTGTATTCCACAGTTCCAATTACTTCAGGATTTTCTGAATACTAAAGTTTACACAGAATTTTGGCAATGTATTCTGTCTGTCTCCATATGTTTAAAATAGTACTCCTATACAACCAATCAACAAAAGATATTCTTTGTACCTATCAAATGCAACAGTGAAGAACATCAACTTTAAAATGATTTAAAAATAAAATTTACTTAGGAGTATACATACAGACAGACAGACAGACACGTAAACAACAATTAAAGGAAAAGAGGCCTGAAGCCATGAAAAAGAGGGGGAAGGAAATACAAGGCACGGGTTGGAGGAGGAAATGAAAAGGGGGAAACGATGTCACTAAATTTTAATTTTAAAACATTAAAGCAATGTAATTTAGACATTTAAACAGAATCATAAAACATGTCTTAGAAATGAGACGAGCAGACAGGCATGACTTCAACCACACTGAATCTTCTGGAGAATTTGCTAAGTCTTGTCACCTGCTCCAGGCACACGGCCTACATCACAGCACACCCATGGAAACCAAGCCTAGCTGCACAGCAACACGCCCCTGCGCTCCTATATCTCTTCACAGAGCCCACAACACTCCGCTAGCACTGCATTTTATTCACAAGATGAACACACCAGGGGAAAATGGACTAAAAATATACAGCCTGCGGATCCAAGGAAACATTTACTAACACGTCAATGCACTAACTCGATAACCTAGCAAAGGCAATCTATTCCCCTGAGACAGAACTACATAATGTCAATGTTTATAACAAAATATTCAAAATTTAAAATTGAAACTCAAAATGTTCTTAGGAATCCATTTAATATCCTGCAATCAAAAAACCCTCGATCTGCACATTCTTTCTTAAGGAAGAAAGCTGAGCATCTATCTGTGCAGTATACCCTCTCCATCCCATAATTAACCATGTTTAAATGGTTCAGTCATTATTTAAGAAAAACAAATCAATTTATGACCAAGTAAAACATTAAAATTAGTACTTATAATTTGTGAAAATTATATTATCATCACAAGGCAATCTCTAAGGACAAGAGATAAGGCACCCAACAATTTCACCAATGAATATTTAACAATTAACGCTAGTGCCGACAAAACTCAACTTGTTAATCATATAAAATCTTTTCTGAATAGGAAAATTATACTTTAGTGCACAACGTCAGCCACGAACAATGGGGCCCTAATATCTGAGGACTGAAGCCAGAAATGGCAGAGTGGACATTCTAAACATCATTGGCATGACACTCCCAGACATGGGGCATTCAGCACATGGTACACAACACTCTGGGGATGTTAAGCATAGACTCTCATCTTCGCAACTCCTACAGCATCCTTAATGCTTCCACTACACAACTATGTGGATTGGGAGGAGGCAGCTACTAGAGCACATCTCTCTACTCCTCCAGGAACCAGCAACAAGAGCTGTTTTATTTTCCTGCATCCTCCTTCGGCTTCTGGTCCATCAAGCCTGAACCTGACACATGCTTTATTGTAGCCTCCCACTTAGGAAGTGTTACTCTTAGGGCAGAAAGGAGCTACAGAAGCTGACAGGAGATATGTAAATGGATTTAGAGGACTATTGGGGGACCATAGACTCTCAAAAAGTACCAATGCTTCTGGTCTGACCGGTATCATGCCCCATCTCTCCATGGCTCTACACTTTCAGAGAGAAGCTCTGACTTCTGGGATGACATCTACTTCTTTCTATAAGCGGTGACTCTAAGTCTCCAAGGTAACCTGAGTTTTCACCCAGACAGAAATGAATCACTGTGTTTCTGCTAATAGGGTTCTTTCTCCCATCACCAGAACTCTATGAGTTCTCAGGCTTTGTGTTCCAAACACCCTTTTGTCAGAACACAATCCAAGAATGGAGTTGCTCAAGGGGAATTCTGAGACAAGTCTTTTGACCTCAGTTTCTTCAAAACCTGGAATGTGCTTTTGTGCCCCTCCCAAGTGTAGCGGATAAGAGCAATTTTATATTAGTCGTTATAACTGGCTATTGTTATTTGTTTATATGCCTTTATGGAAAAACATGTTTTGCCACAGATGGCTTTGGCAGACACATGCAGCTTGCCCTTGTGACTGTACACTTTACCTATGTGATTCTTCTTAAGTCTCAGAGTATAAACTGTCCGATGCTCTGAATAAAGCTGGCTATTGCAAAAGACTGAAATCCACCTCCCTTTTAGGCTCCATTCTCCCAGGGCATACTTCCACTACAGCAGCAAATACTCCATGGTGTAACACTCAGAACTGTCATTTTATCATAAAGTCACCACAAAACATAAATTCTTTTTCTTGTTTACAAAACCAAGTATCAAGCTGCACTGAGACCACAGGCTGTAGTTTACTAACCTGTGTTCTACCTAGACCCAGAGTTCCAAACTTCTAAAACCCTTTAATTCTTTTTTAAAAAGATTTTATTTCTAATTACTCTCTCTCTCTCTCTGTGTGTGTGTGTGTGTGTGTGTGTACACACACGCACACACATGTGCATATTTGGGTTAAATGTGGGCTTTAGCACTTTAGTGAAGTGCCTGTGTTGGTCAGAAGAGGGCGTCAGATTCCCTGGAACTGGAGTTATAGGCAGTTGGAAGCCACCAACCACATGGGTGCTTTAAACCAAACCACTATCCTTTGTGAGAGCAGTAACTGCTCTTATGTGCAGGGACAACTTTCCAGGCCACCCTCAATTCCTAGGATACCATGGAAAGCAACTGTAATTTCAAGTTACCAGCCCTGCCTCCTGGAAAAAGCAATGATGTGACAGAGTGGGAGAGAGGGCAGGCATGAGGCTGGTTTAAAGTGGGCTGGGGAGGGTGCGGAACTGCACAGGATCTACTGCTTGGCAGCACAGGCGTGACTGTGTTTTACTGAATGGCCCCGCTCAGATCCCATCGTGTCTTATTTCCCTGTTTAGGCTCCAGTCTTGCTCCTTACTCCCCAGATCAGCTGAACTTTTCAAAGGACACATAAAAGCTCACACTCCACTCTGGTTTCATTATCCA